CTTCCCCTACCGCACTGCCCCTCTCTCCCCCCCCCCGCCGCTCTGCTGGTAGTCCTCCGGGTGCCTCGCCGCAGCGGTCTGGCCAGCAAGAGCCTCTCTCACGACAGATTTGCGCGAGTGGTTTGCTCGGCGCACCCGCCTTCGGAGTGGCGCTGCTGGAGCTGGAGGCACTGGCGCTGGAGGCACTGGAGCTGGAGGCGCCGGAGCTGCAGACGCTGGAGCTGGAGGTGCTGGAGCTGGAGGCACTGGAGCTGGAGGCACTGGCGCTGGAGGCGCTGGATACGGAGGTGCTGGAGCTGGAGGTGCTGGAGCTGCAGACGCTGGAGCTGGAGGTGCTGGAGCTGGAGGCACTAGAGCTGGAGGCGCTGGAGCTGGAGGCCCTGGAGCTGGAGGCGCTGACGCTGGAGGTACTGGAGGTACTGGGGTTGCTAGTCCTGGAGGTATTGGTGCTGGAGGCACTATGGAGCCTCTCTCGCCACAGCAGCTGCGCGAGTGGTTTGCTCGGCGCACCCGCCTTCGGAGTCGCGCTGCTGGAGCTGAGACACTGCCGCGGGAGGCGCTGGAGCTGGAGGCGCTGGAGCTGGAGGCGCTGGAGCTGGCGACGCTGGAGCTAGAGGCGCTGGAGCTGGAGGCACTGGAGCTGGAGGCGCTGGAGCTGGAGGCGCTGGCGCTGGAGGCACTAGCGCTGGAGGTGCTGGAGCTGGAGGCGCTGGAGCTGGAGGCGCTGGAGCTGGAGGTGCTGGAGCTGGAGGCCTTGGCACTGGAGGCGCTGGAGCTGGAGGCAGTGGTATTGGAGGCGCTGGAGCTGGAGGCACTTGCGCTGGAGGCGCTGCCGCTGGAGGTGCTGGAGCTGGAGGTGCTAGAGCTGGAGGTGCTGGAGCTGGAGGCCCTGTGCAGCAGCGACCGTTTTTCTTGCCGCCGCCGCAGCTGTCCGAGCTTCCGCCCGAGTCGGTGCTCCGTCAGGTTCTTAGTCTTCCTTCGTCCACTGCCCTCCTTCCGCAGCCTGCCCCGCCTCGCTACACTGACTAGCCGGCCTCCCTTACAGAGCGTCGTGAGCCTGCGTCTCGTCCTGCCTCCCTTGTTCGCACTTTTCGCCGTGCTCGAGGTGTCCCTCGTCCGCGTCCTCCTCCTGTGCCAGGCACTCACACTATGGCACTTCGTCCTTCCTCTGTTCCACAGCGCGTCCCTCTACCGTCTCCTCCTGCGTCCTCTCTTCCTGACGTTCCGGACCCTGAGTCTGACCGTGTTCGTGCTGCCAGCCCCACTGTCACGCGTCTCCTGGCTACAGTCGTCACTGACCCGTCGTTTGAGTCTACTACTGCGTCTGCCTTAGATGGTGAGCTTGTGAACTTTGCTGCTGCGTGTCGTCTAGACTACGCCGCCAGTCTTGTTGCTGAGTCTGAGTCCTCCGTCCATCGGGGGTGAGTGTGCTCTTGGCACGGACGTCCTTGAGGACAGGCATGAGGACTTTGAGTGTCTTACGGCTGCTGTACCTCATCTCGTGGCCATGCTGCTTGCACCTGAGGGAGACCCGGATGCACTGGACATCCCGACCCCGCGCTCTTACGCAGAGGCGATCACGGGTCCCTACTCCTCTCAGTGGCAGACATCCATGGACGCAGAGATGGCATCCTGGAAGTCCACAGGCACCTATGTTGACGCAGTTCCCCCTCCTAGGGCCAACATAGTCGATGGCATATGGATTTTCAGGGTGAAGCGGCCGCCGAGTAATCCGCATGTCTTCAAGGCTCGTTACGTTGCACGAGGCTCTAGTCAGCGACAGGAAGTTGACTTCTTCCAGACCTTCTCCCCTACCCCGAAGATGACCACTCTTCGGGTGCTGCTGCACGTTGCCGCTCAGCATGACTACGAGCTTCACTCTCTTTACTTCAGCACTGCGTTTTTACAGGGCAGCCTGCACGAGGAGATCTGGCTGCGCCGCCCACCTGGCTTCACTGGGTCGTTTCCTGCTGGTACCCAGTGGAGCCTCCGGCGGCCAGTCTACAGTCTCCGCCAGGCGCCTCATGAGTGGCACGACACACTGAGGACGACACTTGCGGCTCTTGGGTTTGCTCCTTCCACTGCTGACCCGTCGTTATTTCTGCGCACTGTTCTACACGACACTGCGCTACCGCTGTTCTGCATCCTCGTGTACGTCGACGACTTGGTTTTTGCCACTGCTGACACTGAGGCACTGGCCCTTATGAAGTCGGAGCTGCAGAAGAGACACACGTGCATAGACCTGGGTGAGCTGCGCAGCTATCTTGGCTTGCAGATCACCCGGGACAGAGCACGGCGCACCATCACCCTGACTCAGTCACACATGGTGCAACAGGTCCTTCAGCGCTTCGGCTTCCAGTTCTTCTCATCACAGTCCACTCCTTTGCCTACCGGTCACTCGTTCTCAGCTCCACCTTCGGACGAGTCCGTAGAGCCAAGTGGCCCGTATCCAGAGCTTGTGGGCTGTCTCATGTACCTGATGACCTGCACGCGACCTGACCTTGCGTACCCTCTTAGCATCCTGGCTCGCTACGTTGCGCCTGGGAGACACCGGCGAGAGCACTGGGAGGCTGCTAAGAGGGTGTTGCGCTACCTGTGCAGTACATCGGGCATGGGGCTGGTGCTTGGAGGACGGGGTCGAGTTGTCCTCACTGGACACTCAGACGCCTCTTGGGTTGACGACCTGGCTACGCAGCAGTCGTTATCAACAGGGTTACACGTTCAGCCTTGGTTCCGGCTCTGTTTCTTGGCGGTCTACCCGCTCGTCTTCTGTTCTCAGCTCCAGTTGTGAGGCTGAGATCTACGCAGGAGCCATGGCTGCATAGGAGTTACGCTGGCTCACCTACCTGCTGACTGACTTGGGAGAGCTGCCTATTTCTCCTCCAGTTCTGTACGTAGACAACAAGGCCGCTATCGCCTTGTGTCAGGAGCACAGACTAAAGCACAGAACGAAGCACATGCGATGCGAGTGGTTTTAATTTCGCATCGGTCGAAATTTCGCATGCGCACGATGCGAGCCCACGGGCGAACACGTGGCGGCACCGCAGCGGGTCGCGAAACTCTCGAGTGTCCCAAGGGGTCCCCGAAATTTCGCCAGGCCCTCGCCTGCCCGTCCGGGCAGGCCGCGATGGGTTACTAGGACCTCGCGGGCAGGTGGCACGGGTGGGCTGCCTTCGCGCGAGGGTTACTTTCCCTCGCGCCAAGTGTCGCCAGTTCGCCGACCCCAACCGGTAACGTGGGTTGCTGTTCACTTTCGTAGCGGGGCTGCGGGGCGGCGGTCGTGCGCTCGGCCCAGCCCTGGGCCAGGCTCGCGGGCCCGCACGCGCGTCAGTTGCCCGCCTCGTCAGGCCCGGCTCCGATGACCCCCCTCGACGACACTGGCAAATCCGTTCTGACGACCGAATTGCGCTGACATGTTCGGGATGATATACCTCAGCGGCCAAAAAACGCCGCCCAATTTCGAGGTATAAATGGGACAAGGGCCCCCCTCCGGATTGACGAGCTCCTGACGACCTCCGAGCGGCAAACTGGGCCGAACTGGCGTCCCAGGGGCCTCGGGAGCCCTCGGGATTGTCGACATTCTGACGACCTCGGGTTTCGCTGGGAGAAACCTGAGAAGCAAATCTCAGCGGGCAAAATCGCCACGTCGGGCCGCGACTTCCGCCACACGGCCCAATAGGGAGGAGCCAGACCGACCCCAACGTGTTCAAGGCTGCCACGACGTGGGCGTCGTGGCCACGCGTCGCTCCAACGGAGGTTTTTATGCGCGGGAAGTCGACAATTCCACCAAAGTGTCGGTGCGCGATCCATGCGGCGCAAATCGGACCGTCCAAAATGTAACTCTCCTGTGGCATCGCACCTTGCAAGCGATGTCGATGTCGACCAAGTCATCCAACGGCCCACAACCACCAACACTGTCCAGGTTCAATGAACCTAACCATACGACCAAGCGCGCCGAGTGGAAGTCGGCGCCGATCAGGAGGCGCCACGCTGGGCCTCAATAATCCAGGGCCCCTAGGAGATGGAAGTCGGCATGCCCTAATTTCCGCACTGAGGCGCCAATGTCGGTCCCAAGCCACGTAACACATGCCCATTCCACATTGGAATGGCCCAGGTTTGCGCCTCTTGGGTGCAGCGCGGCATCCCATTAGCCATGCTTGGCACGTGGCACGTCGGACAGTGCGCCGCCACACGAGTTCACATGCATGGCGGCAGAAGCATAGGAGTTTGCGTGAACCGCGGCAGCATCGGAGTCGCTCAGGACCATACCCCTCCGTGACCGTGCGCCGGTGCTCATTCCCTTCTCCATTCCTGCGTTTCTTCCTGCTCTCTCGTGCACTTCGAATTTTCAGCTGCCTGTCTGTCATCGTGCCTGTATGATACTCGGTTGCTGACTACTCGATCAAGTCGGCACTAGTTGCTTCTACCTGGCACCCACCAAAAACGTCGGCGGTGGTCAGTACTCGTCGACATCGACGTCAGGTGTTGTAGGGCAACATTGGTGCAAACTATCAACGTCCCAGCCGACCTAGCAAGTCGGCGACGCATGGCCAGAGGTCGCCCTAGAGCCCAACAGCCGCAACCCATCCCACCCCCCGCCGACCCAGTAGACGCCGGCATCAAAGCGCAACTGGAACGTCTCGAGGTCGAAGCCGAGTTAGACGCGCTTGAGCGAGAATTCGAAGAAGACCGCCACGCAACTCTTCGAGCGTACACTGCACCCGTGACTCAGTACCGTCTCTAATTTACCAACCTCCGCATCGCACACGGACGAAGATAGAGCAACATACGTGCTGCCACATGGCCGACGTCGACATGTCCGACGCTAGTCCCCCCACCGACCACAATCCTACAACTACCGATGAAGGATCTTAGACGCTCCCATTACTCTACGATCTTGACGCGCTGACGGAGATTCCGGAAGGGGAGTTCACCAAGGACATTCCCCCACCGCCGATCGGGGAGTTCAACAAGAAAACAAAATCTGACTCCGACACAAAATGGACAACCAGGAACTTCGTCGGCACCGGCCGGCTCTGGAAACCAGGTTGATGACGAGGAGGAGGAGGAGGAGGAGGAGGGAGGAGGAGGAGGAGGAGGAGGAGGAGGAGGAGGAGGAGGAGGAGGAGGAGGAGGAGGAGGAGGAGGAGGAGGAGGAAAGCGATGACGAAAACGACGACCGTCCACCGCGTAGCACTAATCCGCGCACATTGGAAGAACGACTCAGGCGGGAACTTGAATACATAAATACACTGCTCGAACAGGACGATGATGAGGACCAGGAGAACATGTCGGTGCCAAGCGAACAGTGGAGGGCGGCAGACTTCGTCGAGGAAGACATGGTGTATGTGTGCATCGGCGTGCTCGTCATGGACGCCCTACGCCACCTGCAAATCTTGGAAAAGAACAGCACGCTGAGGCAGTACACCTCCTGGATATACCACTACAAGAGGTGGGCGGCGAAGATTTTGAGGCAAATACTCAACAAACTTCCCCAGGAGCACAGGCTTAAGCACGTCGACGAGATAGGCCACTACATCCGAGACAACAAGAACAAAAATTGGGACCAGGAGGCCGATGTCCCCCGGGCGTACGTGTGGTTGCACGGCCCTAGGGTCACCAAGACCCGGCTTCGCGCATACGTGAAGTACATGGTGCGTGAGTGTAAGCTCGATGCCGACTCCATCGAGGAGGGGAACAACGCCGTGCAAACCCAGCCTGTGCAATCTACAATGGTGCACACGCTCCTCGGGCGCATAAAGGCATGCCAGATGGCGGCGAGAGTGGAGGCGACGCTCTACCGGGAGACGGAGCTGAGCATCATGCGGGAGATATCGGTGGTCAGGTCGGAGGTGCGGTTCATGATCCGCACCAAGAACGAGCGGGACATCAAGTAAGTTGAGGTTCAATCTATGTCGTCCGCACTCTAAAGTCGACGCCGCCCTGAATAACCCTTACACTTGGCTTTGTGGGCAGGAATTGTGCCGATCGACGTCACGGAACCATCGGCGATACCTACACCGCCGAACAGTTTCGCCAGATCATGATGAGGGTGCTGCCGACGTGGAACCCGCGGGGTACGGGTCCTTCGCAGACGCTGTGGAGGTTTCTTCTCTTGAAGGTGCTCACGCTACTCTCCCACCACTCTCTCCTGCGCGGTGCAAGCATCCGCGAGATCACGCTCCCCGACATCTTCTTGTACCGACTGGCTAGCACCTCGTCAGTGAACCCGGAGAACCAGCCGTTCGTCATGGTCATCGCTGCGCGGAACTCGAAGACGTCCAAGGATGCGCGTCTGCAGCAGAGCTACGCGGCGCGACACCTCGAAGCGGAGCTATGCGCCGTCGGCGAGACGGGCCTGTGGTTGCACTTCATCCTCGACCAGATCGGCCGGTTTCACGACGTCGGCCTCATTCCGCCGGTGGACACCAGCACACGCGCGAGCTGGTACAAGAAGCACCTCTTCTTCACCCGAAACGACACCGACCAAGGGGAGCTCTCTGCGGCAAGTCACCAACGCTGGACGCGGCAGATGTGGGACAAGAACGGGGTATTCTGCAAAAGGAATGTGCACGAGGGGCCCAGGAGCTGGCCATCGACGGCACGCCGCGCGCCGAGATCGCGGAGCTGGGTCACTGGGCGCTCGACAAGATGACGCGAGCGTACATCACCGCCATTCCGGTGGGGGTGGTGATGAAGAAGGCCGGTTACTCTGGTTACAAGCAGGACTACTTCTTGGGTCGGAGCAGGGTGCCGCCCTCCGAGAAGCTCCTGAAGCTCATCGCCGAGCACATCTTCCCCGGCGTCGACGCCATGCTGAAGAAGGTATGTTAAGCGACGCCGACGTAGTCTTGTCTTCGTGTCGTGTTGCCGACCGTACCTGAACACCCAATAGACATGACGATTTGCAGGCGGAAGGGCTCACTTCCAAGTGGTCCGACGCCGTCAAAGCCGCCGTGCACTTCTGTCGCACACTCTAGATGCTGCGCCGCATCGTCGCGGAGGACCTAGCGGTGAAGCTGGTCCGCACACCATGGCACCCGTACGTCCAAGGTTCCAAGCTCTGCCGGATCCCCCTCTTCCAGCACTGGGCGAAACGGGTCAAGAAGGTCGACACCGAGACGATCAACAAGCGTCGGGACCCGACCCAAATTCAGGTAGAGGTAAGTTGACAATAATGTCGGTGACGAGCTGTATGGAGTGTATTCCAAACCACATCGCAGCTAACGTCTTTGTCCTACCGCTGTAGGAAATCTCTGTGCGCTTGGACACCGAGTACTACAACATGTCCCTCAAGGCGACGCTGAAGAAGGAGATGGAGCGCGCCGCGAACGAGAAGATTGACCTCCAGACTAGAGGAGATCGAGAAGCGCGACGACACCATCGCGTCGCTCACCGCCGAGATAACCTGTCTCACCGAGGCACTCCATGTGTCAGAAGCACGGAGAGTGCCGGAGGCCCCGCCGCCGGCTACCGCGCAAGCTCCCAGCGAGGGTGGCTCGGCGGATTTGGCCAACACGGGAGCCGGAACCGACAGAGGGGACGAGAAACCCCCGCCACCCCCACAGACAGACGAGGAGGCTAGTACGAGCTCAACGTGGTACAACCGTGGCGGGAGGCAAAGACCGTGAGGGATGCCTGGCGCCTCTGGAACTCCGCCACCGCCAACGACACCCGTCGTCTTTGCGACAGGGTCGCCGAGCCAGGCTTTGTCGACCGCCACACCCTCCTCAAAGGCGTGACTCAGGTGCACTCAACATGAGGGTGCGCCGAATGCTGAAGGTCATGGATGCGGTGCGCCAGCTACGCGCGAGCGACGGCGATGCCGACACCAAGGCCGTGGTCGATGCACTGCACAGGATCGCGGCACCAGGCATCGGGACCTTCTACGATGCCCTCACGGTGCTCAAACCGGGAACGGCACTGACGTTGTCCAAAGAGCCTGGCATGGGAGTCAAAAGGCTGGGCCCCAAGGTGGTCTCGAAGCTACGCCTGGCCTGTGCGCTTGTGGCGCTCAACCTGAAGCCGAGTGATTGGGTCGCTGCCCTGTTTCCAGACACCTGGGAGGAGCAGATGCCGAAGACGATGGCCAACGTGGCGAAGCCGACCGCACCGGCCAAGTCGACAGCACCGGCCAAGCCGACCGCACCGGTGCACCGTCCTCTGACCAAGCGCAAGAAGTCGGCATGAAGACCCTTGTAGGATATGCATCTGCGTAGTTTGATGCTGTTAATTGTGGCAGAATTAAACCCGTCTCCCCCCCCCCCTACCCCCTTTATCTTAAAATATTGTTCCGGTAGTTTATAAACAACCCACAGCAAGGTCCTTGCGAACCTACTATGATCCTGCTATGGTGAATGTTGTCGGTCGCTCAGTAAGAAACAAAAATACTATCCTTGTAGACATCCAAACACAAGTCGATGTCGACGTCTTGTAGGACAAATCGTTCATCGCCCAGTAGCATCTGCCTATGATGTCGACATATTCGCCGCCAAAGCTCATCGCCGAGTAGCATGTTTCTATGATGTCGACATATGCGCCGACAAGGCTCAGCGCTCAAAGTCGATTACCATGTTTCTATGAGGACAGTGATTTATATCATCAAAAGGTGAAGCAACCTGATACAAAAAAGATTCGTGCGCTAAGAAGAAAACATTCATCAGAATTACAACGAAATCGGCACCGGCCATACCAAAGTGTTATACACCCTAGCACCCTGCACACCTCCGCCCGCCAGCTACGCATCCGTACTGTCCTTGCCCTGCTTGCCCGTCTGCCTCTTCTTCCTCTTGCTGCCCTTGCCCTGCTTGACCTTCTCACCCTTTCTCCCCCTGTGCTCCATATCGTACTCCATCTGCGCATCACACGGCACATCGATGCCGTGCTCTTTAATTTTGGGCCCGGCGACGGGGCACATTCCCCAGAACGCCAAGGTCTCGACCGTCGCTCTAGCGATTATGTCGGCCTCGACTCCCACAACCCCTTCCTTGAAGGCACTGTCCACAGCCTGACGCTGCAGCGCCGGTGCGACGTTGTGTGCAACCTCCCCTGCGGGTGCCTCCCTATTGCGTGCTAGGTCGATCACCGCGTGCATCACCTTCTTGAAGTCCTCGGCCCTCTTCTCCCCCGCACCTGCCACCATCGCGGCCGCCTTCCCTTCGCCCACAGCACCGAGCACCGACGCCCCCGTCTCCACGAAGCACCAACGACCCCGTCTCCACGAAGCACCATAGGGCGCATGCGGATGCCGCTAACGCCTGGGCCGCCAACTCCGTCTTCTCATCCGCCTCCCTGTCCGTGCCTACCATCTCCGTCTTCTCTTCCGCCTTCCCCTCCGCGCTCGCTTCGACCTTTCCAAACGCCGTGCTCGCCGCGACCTTCCCATACGCCGCGCACATCGACACGCGATTTACCACCGCCGACATGAAAGCTTCTATCTCCTCCTTGCCTGCCTTCGTGTTCTCGACGACGGGGAACCAGATCGCCGGCAAGAGCACGTCGTGAAGCGCATCACCCGAACCCGTGTACCCACGGTTCCTGCCGAGGATATCATCGAACCTGCCGCACAAACACATTAAAAGGACACCGACTTCGTCAAGATCAGCGTAACGACACCGACTTTAGTCGACAGCACTCGGCAGTTCGGTATCCGTCTTACCTTGCTCTCGGATGGCACAAGCCTCTGGCCCACATCACCGTCCACATCCCAGTCGGCAAGAACTTGACCTCCTCCCACACCCCCTTCCATTCCTCCAACTCCCCCGGCTTCAAGACTGTGAGCTCGTCCATGAGCACCTTGCCCACGTAGCCGTCATAGACGACGTACGCAATCGAGTGCTCGTAGGCCAGCTCCCTCTTGTCTCTCGACTTGCCGATGTATCGATTCTCGCCGTTTACCTTAATCTCGCCCACCCAACCTAGCCCGTCGCCCGACTTGTCGTGGCGGATGCCATGACCCCTGCGTCCATGCTCCTTCTTTCCCTCGCCGACAGCCTCGTCCTCCTCCTCCTTCGTCTTTGCCGACTTACACTTGCCGCCCTTCGTATCTTGGTTCCCTCCCGCCTTCGTCCCTTTCTCGTCCGACATCTCCTTCCCCGCCGACATCGCCCGCGTGCTCCTCTGAGAGACCGCCTTCCCCTTTCCAGCGTCGTCCTTCCCCTTCCGTCCCGCATTTTTCTCGGCGACAGCCTCCGTTGCGGCCGTCGGCTCCGCCGAACCCCCTCCGTGAGTCGCCGACGGCTCCACATGCGCCGTGTCCATGATGGCCAGAGCAGGGGCGTGCTCGGGGCGTTTTGCAGCCTCGAAATGGGCCTAGATGGCAGCGATGTTGGCGTGCCTGTCGGCTCGGCCGCTGGTGGCTAGCGCTGCACGCACACCCTTCTCCACCGCCACATCGACCACAGCTGCACAGGGTGTGGGTGCGGCCGCGTTTACTGACGTCGGCGTCGCGCTTTTACCGGTTTCCGGCGGAGTCACTGGTGGAGCTGCCGCTTTGCATGCGCCTAACTGGGCGCGGAGAAACGCGGGCTTTGGGTCTGCAGGCGGTCGGGCGGCGACCTGAGATGCGGCAGGTGGGGCACCAGACGATGTGCCGGCAACCTGCGGGGTGACGGAGCGACGTGCTGTTTCGGCAAGGGCGGCGTCGACCACGGGAGGCTGCTGCATGTCCCTGCAATGTGTCTCCATGCGGTGGAGCAACTCCCTGAGCGCGTTACCACCGGCGGGCACCTTAGCAGCTGACGGACCATCGCGCTTAGCCGCAGGAGCCTTCGCGTCGCCCTTGGCGGCAGATGGGGCTGCTGGAGCTAGAGGGGCCGCAATGGTTGGCCCTTCGTTGTTGGCGCCTGACTGGCCGGCCGGCGCGGTGGTAGCCGCAAGGGGGTTACGGGGAATCGACGTGGACCCCGCCACCGCGACGGACGGTCCCTTGGCGGTTCTGGCGCCGCCATCTTTCGCCGTCTCAGTGGTTGGTATCTCCTTGTCGCGCACGCCTTTCCCACCGCTCGCCTGAGGATGGGTTTGCACGGCGACCAAAGGCGGGCCTTCCGGTGCTGCGACTTTAGCGGCAACCTCGTCGGCAGTGCCACCCTCTGCCCCCCCGCTCCCATCTCCGTTGCTGTGCGACGACCTCATCACCTTCCACCCCGCCTTTGTCTTCAGCTGGTCGACCACGCTCTGTGCAGCAGGCTTCGAGCCGCCTGGACCGCGGCTCCCGTCCGCTCCCTTGCTCCGCTTCACGCTCACCGAACCGTCTCCGCCGCCCGTCCTCTGCTGGCCCTGCTTGTCGGCCTCCCTCCGTTGCGCGTGATCGGCGTCACTGGCCGACGGCGACGCGCCCGGACCGCGGCTCCCGTCCGCTCCCTTGCTCCGTTTCACGCTCACCGAACCGTCTCCGCCGCCCGTCCTCTTCTGGCCCTGCTTGTCGACCTCCCCCCGTTGCGCCTGATCGGCGTCATTGGCCGACGGCGACACGCCTGGACCGCGGCTCCCGTTCACTCCCTTGCTCCGCTCCACGCTCCCCGCATCGTCTCCGCCGCCCGTCCTATTCTAGCCCCGCTTGTCGGCCTCCCTCCGTTGCGCGTGATCGGCGTCATTGGCCGAAGGCGACGACCCACGTCGACCAGGCGCCACAGTGCCGATCATCTCGGTCATGATCTTCATCCCGGAAGCTAGGAACGACTGTTGGGTGGCCTCCGTCACCGCCTTCAAGATGTCTGCCTTGAACGACTTCAAGAGCTCCTCTGGTAAGGCGGGCGTTGGGGCGGGCGGCGTGGGCTGAGGCGGAGGAGGCGGCTGCACGGCGAGCCTGTGAGTCACAGGGGTGGCGATGTTGACCTGCGCGGAGGCTAGGTGGTTCGAGATGTACTCCTCCAAACCCCTCTTCGCATCGCCCACCACCGTATCGACGTGTTCGGCCAAGGCGGTGACCGCCTCGGCGCGTGCATATGCCATATTTCCCTCCGGATTGTCGAAGTCCAACAATCACGCCGACGCCAGATCAGCGAAGGTCTTCATCGTCTTCCACGCTTCGTCGAAGCTGCCGGTGATGTTGCCCGTGATGGTCGTCGACATGGCCGACATCGCGTTCCGCAGCCGTTCCGCCGGAGTCGGCGATCTGGTCGGCCAACTCATTCACCTTGTCGACGAGTCCACGTACCCCAACAAAAAACCTGTCGAGCCGAGCCTTCTCCTCATCGAGCAACGTCGCCAGCCGAGCGTTCTCCGCCCTCAACAACCAGTTCTCCCGTCGCAGCTCCTCGACGTCGTCCAGCTCAGGACCCTGCCGACCAGATGCTTCCCCCGTCTCCTGCACGCCCGTGATGTTCGCCCCTTCGCCGGCGTCGACCGGCACCTTTCCACTTCCCTCACATGCCGCCTCCTCCTGGCCCGTTTCCGTCGTTGCCTCCACGCCGACCTCATCCTTCTCCTTCCCCCCATCTGCCGACCTCGTAGCATTACCCGCATCGCCATCCTTCTCTTCCTCGTTCCTTTTATCCGCTGACCCCACCGCCTCTTCCGCCACTCCCACCTCAACCGTACCGTCTACGTACTCCACCTCGTACTCCACCTCTTCTTCCACCCCTCCTCATCCTTCCCGTCCTCCTCCTCCTCACCCTTCCCTTCCTCCTCCTCCTCATCCTTCTCGTCCTTCTCCTCCTCCTCGTCCTCCTCGTCCTCCTCGTCCTGCTTCACCGCCTCGTCCTCCTCCTCCGACTCCGACTCGGACCCCGACCCCGACTCCGACGACCCCGACTCCTCTTCCTTCCATTCTGCACCTGCCGCAGCGTCGCCTCCTCCTCCACCGTTTCCTCCTTCCGCGGACACCCTCGCGGTCCCCTGATGTTGGGCGGCAACTGCTGCTTGGGGCGCCGTCTGTCTTTCCGCGTCGTCGTCATCTATCGCACTGTCGGCGGGGCCGACGGCTTGTGAAGTCGGCGCCGCAGAGTGTTTTTTGGCGATGCGCTTGCAGATGTACTCCACCATGTTGTCTCGCAAAGCCCTCAGCCCCTTTGTCTTGATGTTCTCGATGCTCACCCCACTACGGCCCTTCTTGCCCGTCAGCATGTCAATCTGCTTGGCCACCCACCCGAACGACGTCGCGGCAAGCATGTCGGTACCGACATGCCCGTCCGACACTATGTCCGGCACTTTCTGCATACAACACCGGCAAGCGCAGCGGAGCATACAGAAACGTGCACCCCCCTTAATGCTTAAACGTGGAACTCACATCGCGGATGGGGTGGTCGCAGTCGGCAAGCCTTTCCTCCACCACTGCTTGTGATGGCGGCGCCCCGTCCCACTTCCTACCGGGACGCCCCAGCTCGGCCAGGACAGCCGTGCGGAATAACCTGGAGCATCATGGTAAAAGGAGGCGGTCAGCATGTGATACCCTGTGACGGCGACTAGCAAGCGGGACATCGACGACTATTCACAACTTACTTCAGCACGCGGACGACCTCGTCGCGGTGGACCAGTTTACCGGTCTGCGGGTCGATGTGCCGGATCGAGGTCCTGCACACCTGTCCCTCAGCCTTCAGCAGATCTCCTGGGTAGAGGATGGCTATGACGCTGCAGTGTGATCCTAAGCGGACCGCCTCTGCACATGCAATACACGACGGCGTCGATCACAACATTAGGCGATGATGCGACCGACCAAACAAAACGATAACTGGACAACGGGGAAACAGCTCACGTCGTTCTCAACGGGATAGCGGCGATGTCGGCGTCGAAAACCATAGCAAAGCAAGAATGGTCGGCGGCCTTCATGGCCGATCGAAGCGGGCCGACTCCGATTACCCACAACCGCTGGTCGTTCAGCCCAATGCGAAACCAAGCGTACCTGATCGCACGATTGGGCATGAGGGATGATATAAGGGTGGGTGAGCGAACGCTACCAGGTCGACGTCTACCGAACGTCAAACGCCGACTGTACGTGGTCGACGCTTGCTAGGCCGACCGACGTCCCTGGACGGGGTCTATGCCTAATACCGCGTACGTCGACGTCAATCTGATAACAACCGGCGACAATGCGACCCCCAACGGCGCCGACATCTACCCTATGCGCCCATCTAGTGTTAGTCGGCGCCGACATCTACCCTATTCGCCCACCGCGACTTCTCGAGTCCCACCTGATGCTGAATCCCAAGCATCTCTCGTTGAACTCTTTCTTGTGGTCGCGAAGGACGGCGAAGTCGTCCCACTCGAAAGTGAAGCTGAGACCGCAACCCTTTCGGTAACGAAGAGGAAAGTCAGCCGAAGTCGGCGCCGACTTATCGGCGTCGGGGCTCGGCTCCATATCGACTAAGGGAAGACGCGGACGGCTAAGGAACGATAGCACAGATTTGGGGGGGGGCGCAGAGCTAGCAACGTCCGAAGATCAAAACGAGATGCGGAAAATGAGGAGCGAAGCCACCTTCCACAAAGAACAGGAGGTGGTGCCCCACCCCAGGCCCGTTCAGCATCGCCCAAGGGTGTGGGGCCTGGCTCGGCAGGGCTCGGAGGGCGCACGCGCAAGTGGCACAAGTGGTCCGTCTCCGCTTTGGCAGAGCGTCGACTTCGCGTCCATTGGCCCAGGTCAGCGAGGGGACGCACATTCGCATGCGCGCGGAGCTTCGCATCGGCCGGCACGTGTCGATTTCGTAGCGGATTGCGATGATATTGCGCATGCGATGCGAGTGGTTTTAATTTCGCATCGGTCGAAATTTCGCATGCACACGATGCAAGCCCACGGGCGAACACGTGGCGGCACCGCAGCGGGTCGCGAAACTGTCGAGTGTCCTGAGGGGGGCCCCGAATTTTCGCCAGGCCCTCGCCTGCCCGTCCGGGCAGGCCGCGATGGGTTACTAGGACCTCGCGGGCAGGTGGCACGGGTGGGCTGCCTTCGCGCGAGGGTTACTTTCCCTCGCGCCAGGTGTCGCCAGTTCGCCGACCCCACACGGTAACGTGGATCGCTGTTCACTTTCGGAGCGGGGCTGCGGGGCGGCGGTCGTGCGCTCGGCCCAGCCCTGGGCCAGGCTGGCGGGCCCGCACGCGCGTCAGTCGCCCGCCTCGTCAGGCCCGGCTCCGATGACCCCCCTCGACGACACTGGCAAATCCGTTCTGACGACCGAATTGCGCTGAGATGTTCGGGATGATATACATCAGCGGCCAAAAAACGCCGCCCAATTTCGAGGTATAAATAGGACAAGGGCCCCCCTCCGGATTGACGAGCTCCTGACGACCTCCGAGCGGCAAACTGGGCCGAACTGGCGTCCCAGGGGCCTCGGGAGCCCTCGGGATTGTCGACATTCTGACGACCTCGGGTTTCGCTGGGAGAAACCTGAGAAGTAAATCTCAGCGGACAAAATCGCCACGTCGGGCCGCGACTGCCGCCACGCGGCCCAATAGGGAGGAGCCAGACCGACCCCAACGTGTTCAGGGCTGCCACGACGTGGGCGTCGTGGCCACGCGTCGCTCCAACTGAGGTTTTTATGCGCGGGAAGTTGACAATCCCACCAAAAGTGTCGGTGCGCGATCCACGCGGCGCAAATCGGACCGTCCAAAATGTAACTCTCCTGTGGCATCGCACCTTGCAAGCGATGTCGATGTCGACCAAGTCATCCAACGGCCCACAACCAAGCCATGCGGCACATTCCCAACACTGTCCAGGTTCAATGAACCTAACTACACAACCAAGTGCGCCGAGTGGAAGTCGGCGCCGATCACGAGGCGCCACGCTGGGCCTCACAGCCGCAACAGGTCGCCCTAGAGCCCAACAGCCGCAACCCATCCCACCCCCTGCCGACTCAGTAGTCGCCGGCATCAAAGCGCAACTGGAACGTCTCGAGGTCGAAGTTGAGTTAGACGCGCTTGAGCGAGAATTCGAAGAAGACCGCCACGCAACTCTTCGGGCGTACACTGCACCCGTGACTCAGTACCGTCTCTAATTTACCAACCTCCGCATCGCACACGGACGAAGATAGAGCAACATACGTGCTGCCACATGGCCGACGTCGACATGTCCGACGCTAGTCCCCCCACCGACCACAATCCTACAACTACCGATGAAGGATCTTAGACGCTCCCGTTACTCTACGATCTTGACGCGCTGACGGAGATTCCGGAAGGGGAGTTCACCAAGGACATTCCCCCACCGCCGATCGGGGAGTTCAACAAGAAATCAAAATCTGACTCCGACACAAAATGGACAACCAGGAACTTCGTCGGCACCGGCCGGCTCTGGAAACCAGGTTGATGACGAGGAGGAGGAGGAGGAGGAGGAGGAGGAGGAGGAGGAGGAGGAGGAGGAGGAGGAGGAGGAGGAGGAGGAGGAGGAAAGCGATGACGAAAACGACGACCGTCCACCGCGTAGCACTAATCCGCGCACATTGGAAGAACGACTCAGGCGGGAACTTGAATACATAGATACACTGCTCGAACAGGACGAGGATGAGGACCAGGAGAACATGTCGGTGCCGCGCGAACAGTGGAGGGCGGCAGACTTCGTCGAGGAAGACATGGTGTACGCGTGCATCGACGTGTTCGTCATGGACGCCCTACGCCACCTGCGAACCTTGGAGAAGAACAGCACGCTGAGGCAGTACACCTCCTGGATATACCACTACAAGAGGTGGGCGGCGAAGATGTTGAGGCAAATACGCAACAAACTTCCCCAGGAGCACAGGCTTAAGCACGTCGACGAGATAGGCCACTACATCCGGGACAACAAGAAGAAGAATTGGGACCAGGAGGCCGATGTCCCCCGGGCGTACGTGTGGCTGCACGGCCCTAGGGTCACCAAGACCCGGCTTCGCGCATACGTGAAGTACATGGTGCGTGAGTGTAAGCTCGATGCCGACTCCATCGAGGAGGGGAACAACGCCGTGCGAACCCAGCCTGTGCAATCTACAATGGTGCACACGCTCCTCGGGCGCATAAAGGCATGCCAGATGGCGGCGAGAGTGGAGGCGACGCTCTACCGGGAGACGGAGCTGAGCATCATGCGGGAGATATCGGTGGTCAGGTCGGAGGTGCGGTTCATGATCCGCACCAAGAACGAGCGGGACATCAAGTAAGTTGAGGTTCAATCTATGTCCTCCACACTCTGAAGTCGACGCCGCCCTGAATAACCCTTACCCTTGGCTTTGTGGGCAGGAATTGCGCCGATCGACGTCACGGAACCATCGGCGAACCATCGCCGTCCTCTTCTGGCCCTGCTTGTCGGCCTCTCTCCGTTGCGCCTGATCGGCGTCATTGGCCGACGGCGACACGCCTGGACCGCGGCTCCCGTCCGCTCCCTTGCTCCGCTCCACGCTCCCCGCATCGTCTCCGCCTCCCGTCCTATTCTGGCCCCGCTTGTCGGCCTCCCTCCATTGAGCGTGATCGGCGTCATTGGCTGACGGCGACGACCCACGTCGACCAGGCGCCACAGTGCCGATCATCTCGGTCATGATCTTCATCCCAGAAGCTAGGAACGACTGTTGGGTGGCCTCCGTCACCGCCTTCAAGATGTCTGCCTTGAACGACTTCAAGAGCTCCTCCGGTAAGGCGGGCGTTGGGGCGGGCGGCGTGGGCTGAGGCGTTGGCGGCGGCTGCATGGCGAGCCTGTGAGTCACAGGGGTGGCGATGTTGACCTGCGCGGAGGCTAGGTGGTTCGAGATGTACTCCTCCAAACCCCTCTTCGCATCGCCCACCACCGTATCGACGTGTTCGCCCAAGGCGGTGACCGCCTCGGCGCGTGCATATGCCATATTTCCCTCCGGATTGTCGAAGTCCAACAACCACGCCGACGCCTGTTCCGCGAATGTCTTCATCGTCTTCCACGCTTCGTCGAAGCTGCCGGTGATGTTGCCCGTGATGGTCGTCGACATGGCCGACGTCGCGTTCCGCAGCCATTCCGCCGCAGTCTGGTCGGAGTCGGCGACCTGGTCGGCCAACTCATTCACCTTGTCGACGAGTCCACGTACCCCAACAAAAAACCTGTCCAGCCGAGCCTTCTCCTCATCGAGCAACGTCGCCAGCTGAGTGTTCTCCGCCCTCAACAACCAGTTCTCCCGTCGCAGCTCCTCGACGTCGTCTAGTTTAGGACCCTGCCAACCAGATGCTTCCTTCGTCTCCTGCACGCCCGTAATGTTCGCCCCTTCGTCGGCGTCGACCGGCACCTTCCCACTTCCCTCGCATGCCGCCTCCTCCTGGCCCGTTTCCGTCGTTGCCTCCACGCCGACCTCATCCTTCTCCTTCCCCCCATCTGCCGACCTCGTAGCATTACCCGCATCGCCATCCTTCTCTTCCTCGTTCCTTTCATCCGCCGACCCCACCGCCTCTTCCGCCGCTCCCACCTCAACCGTACCGTCTGCGTGCTCCACCTCATACTCCACCTCTTCTTCCACCCCCTCCTCATCCTTCCCGTCCTCCTCCTCCTCACCCTTCCCTTCCTCCTCCTCCTCATCCTTCCCGTCCTTCTCCTCCTCCTCGTCGTCCTCCTCGTCCTGCTTCACCGCCTCGTCCTCCTCCTCCGACTCCGACTCGGACCCCGACCCCGACTCCGACGACCCGGACTCCTCTTCCTTCCGTTCTGTACCTACCGCAGCGTCGCCTCCTCCTCCACCGTTTCCTCCTTCCACAGACACCCTCGCGGTCCCCTGATGCTGGGCGGCAACTGTTGCTTGGGGCGCCGTCTGACTTTCCGCGCCGTCGTCATCAATCGCACTGTCGGCGGGGCCGACGGCTTGTGAAGTCGGCGCCGCAGAGCGTTTTTTGGCGATGCGCTTGCAGATGTACTCCACCATGTTGTCTCGCAAAGCCCTCAGCCCCTTTGTCTTGATGTTCTCGATGCTCACCCCACTACGGCCCTTCTCGCCCGTCAGCATGTCAATCTGCTTGGCCACCCACCCGAACGACGTCGCGGCAAGCATGCCGGTACCGACATGCCCGTCCGACACTATGTCCGACACTTTCTGCATACAACACCGGCAAGCACGGAACATTATGAGCGGAGCATACAGAAACGTGCACCCCCCTTAATGCTTAAACGTGGAACTCACATCGCGGATGGGGTGGTCGCAATCGGCAAGCCTGTCCCCCACCACTGCTTGTGATGGCGGCGCCCCGTCCCACTTCCTACCGGGACGCCCCAGCTCGGCCAGGACAGCCGTGCGGAATAACCTGGAGCATCGTGGTGAAAGGAGGCGGTCAGCATGTGATACCCTGTGACGGCGACTAACAAGCGGGACATCGACGACTATTCACAACTTACTTCAGCACGCGGACGACCTCGTCGCGGTGGACCAGTTTACCAGTCTGTGGGTCGATGTGCCGGATCGAGGTCCTGCACACCTGTCCCTCAGCCTTCAGCAGATCTCCTGGGTAGAGGATGGCTATGACGCTGCAGTGTGATCCTAAGCGGACCGCCTCTGCACATGCAATACACGACGGCGTCGATCACAACATTAGACGATGATGCGACCGACCAAACAAAACGATAACTGGACAACGGGGAAACAGCTCACATCGTTCTTAACGGGATAGCGGCGATGTTGGCGTCGAAAACCGTAGCAAAGCAAGAATGGTCGGCGGCCTTCATGGCCGATCGAAGCGGGCCGACTCCGATTACCCACAACCGCTGGTCGTTCGGCCCAATGCGAAACCAAGCGTACCTGATATAAGGGCGGGTGAGCGAACGCTACCAGGTCGACGTCTACCGAACGTCAAACGCCGACTGTACGTGGTCGACGCTTGCTAGGCCGACCGACGTCCCTGGATGGGGTCTATGCCTAATACCGCGTACGCCGACGTCAGTCTGATGACAACCGGCGACAATGCGACCCCCAACGGCGCCGACATCTACCCTATGCGCCCATCTAGTGTTAGTCGGCGCCGACATCTACCGTTTTCGCCCACCGCGACTTCTCGAGTCCCACCTGATGCTGAATCCCAAGCATCTCTTGTTGAACTCTTTCTTGTGGTCGCGAAGGACGGCGAAGTCATCCCACTCGAAGGTGAAGCTGAGACCGCGACCCATTCGGTGACGAAGAGGAAAGTCAGCCGAAGTCGGCGCCGACTTATCGGCGTCGGGGCTCGGCTCCATATCGACTAAGGGAAGACGCGGACGGCTAAGGAACGATAGCACGGATTTGGGGGGGGGCGCAGAGCTAGCAACGTCCGAAGATCGAAACGAGATGCGGAAAATGAGGAGCGAAGCCACCTTCCACAAAGAAAAGGAGGTGGTGCCCCACCCCAGGCCCGTTCAGCATCGCCCAAGGGTGTTGGGCTTGGCTCGGCAGGGCTCGGAGGGCGCACGCGCAAGTGGCACAAGTGGTCCGTCTCCGCTTTGGCAGAGCGTCGACTTCGCGTCCATTGGCCCAGGTCAGCGAGGGGACGCACATTCGCATGCGCGCGGAGCGTCGCTTCGGCCGACACGTGTCGATTTCGTAGCGGATCGCGATGATATTGCGCATGCGATGCGAGTAGTTTTAATTTCGCATCGGTCGAAATTTCGCATGCGCACGATGCGAGCCCACGGGCGAACACGTGGCGGCACCGCAGCGGGTCGCGAAACTGTCGAGTGTTCTGAAGGGGCCCCCGAAATTTCGCCAGGCCCTCGCCTGCCCGTCCGGGCAGGCCGCGATGGGTTACTAGGACCTCGCGGGCAGGTGGCACGGGTGGGCTGCCTTCACGCGAGGGTTACTTTCCCTCGCGCCAGGTGTCGCCAGTTCGCTGTTCACTTTCGGAGCGGGGCTGCTGGGCGACCGAATTGCGCTGAGATGTTCGGGCCCGACTGCCTGATTCATTTCATTCCATTTCATTTCATTTCATTTCATTTCATTTCATTTCATTTCATTTCATTTCACTGTATGAATTCTCAGTAATCCAGATTAATAATAGACCGCTCTGGGTCGTACCAAACCTCGTTGAGCCGCATTTACTTTCAGAACCCCACTTCTGCCACTTGTGCGTACACGCGACCTCCCCACCTGCACTTTATCTGAATGCGTGCTTCGCGCCACACCACGTTGATCATGCAGACGCCGGCAGCAGTCAGCCAGCAGCAGTTGAGCAGACGAGGCGGGCGGCATGGGGCGGCCGAAGCAGAAGAAGGCGCAGCTGAAGCGCGCCACGCGGAAGCCCAGGTGCGGCAGCGCGGAGCCCATCGCGCGCGTGGGTTGCACGGACTCACCTCGTGTGCCGCGGCAGTAGGGCAGTAGCGGCAGTAGCGTCAGTAGCGGCATTAGCGGTCGTAGCTTACCCTGAAATCTCAGAACTTTGACTTTAGTGGACCGTTGGTGTAGATCCTGCTGATCGTGCGATGCGGGAATGCCCTTGTTGTTCGTTCAGCCCTGACTGCAAGATTTCCAGAATCAACGGCTCGCATCCCTCTCGCCTCCTCGTCGCTCGCGCGTCCTCTAGGGTCCCTTTCCATCTCCCCGCTCCCCCCTCCCTCACCTCCTCTTCTCTCCCTCCTTCCACCCTCTTTCCCCCAACCCCCAACCCCCGATTCCCGTTCCCGTTCCCCGCGCATCTCCTTTCCCCACCCTCACGGCAGGCGCGCGGCTTACGAAGGCAATCCGCCGCTGCTACTGGGCGGGGAAGACGAGCGCGCGGTGGGGGATGACGGCGGCGGCAGCAACGCGCTCGTCATTGCGTCCGCTGCGTCGTGCGCACGCGGCGGCAGCCGCCCCGACGAGCTCGGCGAGGTGCGTTCGCCGGGCGGAACAACACGCTGACAGACGCGCTGACAGGTGCGCAGACGTCCCTCCGCGCGCAGTGGCTTTGACGGGACGGGGTTCAGAGTCGGAGGGTTTTGCAGGCGGATGATTATAAGAGGGCGGAAGGTCTTAGGCGGACGGATTATCTAAGCACGCGGAGAGGTTTATCAGGCGGTTGGTGTTAGGCGGACAGCCAGGTTGAGGCAGGAGGTATAGCAGGCGGAGGGACTTAGCAGGAGGAAGCTCAGAATTTACCAGACGGAGGGTTTTAGCAGGAGGGTTGGCATGCGTGTTTCAGGGTCTTAGTCGAAGGGTTTCAACTGCCATGAAGAGGGTTAGGCAGGGGGGTTCAGGGTTTTAACAGACAAAGCGGGTGAAGTGCACGTCGATTTGTGAGCCCCGTGAATTTTTTGAGTCGAAGTGATCGTCATCTTCTTACAGAAGACCGGCAACGTTGCAACTGGAGCGGATGCATTCGTTCGTTCGTGCCTTTTGAGACTCTAGAGAGTCAGTCAGTTCAGAGAATTCCAGTTTGAGGATTGTACAGAGCATCACACTCCTCCAGCCTGGTTCCATGGCCTGACCTTGCCTTTCACTGCATTGCTGTCGCCGCCCTGATCTTCTCCCGCAGCGAATGGCAGGGACGGGAGCTGAGCTGGTGTCCGGCACGGATGTGGTGGCTGACGTGGTAGCTGACGTGGCACTGGACAACGATGAGCTGGAGCTGGTGGACGACCGCAAGAAGCGGCGCAACAGCAAGCGCGTGCAGCGCAAGCTGCGTCGCATCCAGGTGAGCAAGGCAGGGGAAACGAGAAAAATTGGGGGGAGAGAGGTGAGGAGATGCAGGGATACCCAGTTGACCCCCCCTCCCTCATCCTCATTCCCCCCCGTCCCTCACCCTCGTTCTCTCCCTGTTTCACCGTCGTTCCCCCAATCCCCAACCTTACTACTTGGGTGCGTGGCAGGAGGAGAAGGAGAAGAAGATAAAGCGCAAGCAAGCCATCCAACTGCTGCAGTGAGCTCCTTTTCCCACCCCAACCCACCCCCTTCCCCCACGTTCCCCCTCTCCCCCCTTCCCTTTCGATCTTCTCCTGTTCGCCCTTTCCCCCTTCTCACCCCCATGCGAATGTACCCGGAGGGGTCACATCACATCACACAGTCACCATGCTGCCTCTCGTGACTCCACTTCACCCCCTTCTTCCCTTGCCCCCATGTTGCCTCCTCGTGCCACCTTGCTTGTCCATGCCACTCCGATGCCACCCCCCTCCCTCCCACCCCCCATGCTACCGACCATTCCACCCCTTGTGCCCCTGGTGCCCCTTGTGCCCCTGGTGCCCCTGGTGCCCCTGGTGCCCCTTGTGCCCCTTGTGCCCCTTGTGCCCCCTATGGCCCCTTTCCCATGTCGCCCCTGTTCTCCCCCCAGGCAGCATGAGGCATCGTCCACCGCACTGCACCTCATGGCACCCAGCAGCACGCTGGGACAGGTGGGTGCAGGGAAGGCAAAGGCAAGGGGAGGGTGGGCCAAGGGAAGGGGAGGGTGGGCCAAGGGAAGGGGAGGGTGGGCCAAGGGAAGGGGAGGGTGGGCCAAGGGAAGGGGAGGGTGGGCCAAGGGAAGGGAAGGGTAGGGCGGGGAGAGGCGGAGAAGAGGGGAAGGAAGGAGGGAAGTGAGGCAAGTGGGGGTCCGTGTGGGCAGCGCTGCAAGCTCGTGCGAGCATGGCAGGTGGATGGTGTGTGTGGCATGGCGTGTGTGTGGCATGGCGTGTGTGTGGCATGGCATGTGTGTGCTCTCGCCCCCACACCACACCTCTCCACTTTCCATGTTCTCCGCCTCTTCTCCGCCCCACCCAGCCCGCCCACTCTTTCCATCACCCTCCCCCTTCCTGCACACCACACCATCTCTGCCAGCCTCTCTCCTGCACGCTCCCCCCTACCCGCCTTTCCCCCTCTTCCCGGCCGCCCTACCCGCCTTTCCCCCTCTTCCCGGCCGCCCTACCCGCCTTTCCCCCTCTTCCCGGCCGCCCTACCCGCCTTTCCCCCTCTTCCCGGCCGCCCTACCCGCCTTTCCCCCTCTTCCTGGCCGCCCTACCCGCCTTTCCCCCTCTTGCTGGCCGCCCTACCCGCCTTTCCCCCTCTTCCTGGCCGCCCTACCCGCCTTTCCCCCTCTTGCCGGCCGCCCTACCCGCCTTTCCCCCTCTTGCTGGCCGCCCTACCCGCCTTTCCCCCTCTTGCTGGCCGCCCTACCCGCCTTTCCCCCTCTTCCTGGCCGCCCTACCCGCCTTTCCCCCTCTTCCTGGCCGCCCTGCCCGCCTTTCCCCCTCTTCCCGGCCGCCCTACCCGCCTTTCCCCCTCTTCCCGGCCGCCCTACCCGCCTTTCCCCCTCTTCCCGGCCTCCCTACCCGCCTTTCCCCCTCTTCCTGGCCTCCCTACCCGCCTTTCCCCCTCTTCCTGGCCGCCCTACCCGCCTTTCCCCCTCTTCCCGGCCGCCCTACCCGCCTTTCCCCCTCTTCCCGGCCGCCCTACCCGCCTTTCCCCCTCTTCCTGGCCGCCCTACCCGCCTTTCCCCCTCTTCCTGGCCGCCCTACCCGCCTTTCCCCCTCTTCCTGGCCGCCCTACCCGCCGTTCCCCTTCTTCCTGCCCGCCCTACCCGCCGTTCCCCCTCTTCCCGGCCGCCCTACCCGCCTTTCCCCCTCTTCCCGGCCGCCCTACCCGCCTTTCCCCCTCTTCCCGGCCGCCCTACCCGCCTTTCCCCCTCTTCCCGGCCGCCCTACCCGCCTTTCCCCCTCTTCCCGGCCGCCCTACCCGCCTTTCCCCCTCTTCCTGGCCGCCCTACCCGCCTTTCCCCCTCTTCCTGGCCGCCCTACCCGCCTTTCCCCCTCTTCCCGGCCGCCCTACCCGCCTTTCCCCCTCTTCCCGGCCGCCCTACCCGCCTTTCCCCCTCTTCCCGGCCGCCCTACCCGCCTTTCCCCTCTTCCTGGCCGCCCTACCCGCCTTTCCCCCTCTTCCCGGCCGCCCTACCCGCCTTTCCCCCTCTTCCTGGCCGCCCTACCCGCCTTTCCCCCTCTTCCCGGCTGCCCTACCCGCCTTTCCCCCTCTTCCTGGCCGCCCTACCCGCCTTTCCCCCTCTTCCTGGCCGCCCTACCCGCCTTTCCCCCTCTTCCCGGCCGCCCTACCCGCCTTTCCCCCTCTTCCCGGCCTCCCTACCCGCCTTTCCCCCTCTTCCTGGCCGCCCTACCCGCCTTTCCCCCTCTTCCGGCCGCCCTACCCGCCTTTCCCCCTCTTCCCGGCCGCCCTACCCGCCTTTCCCCCTCTTCCTGGCCGCCCTACCCGCCTTTCCCCCTCTTCCTGGCCGCCCTACCCGCCTTTCCCCCTCTTCCTGGCCGCCCTACCCGCCGTTCCCCTTCTTCCTGCCCGCCCTACCCGCCGTTCCCCCTCTTCCCGGCCGCCCTACCCGCCTTTCCCCCTCTTCCCGGCCGCCCTACCCGCCTTTCCCCCTCTTCCCGGCCGCCCTACCCGCCTTTCCCCCTCTTCCCGGCCGCCCTACCCGCCTTTCCCCCTCTTCCCGGCCGCCCTACCCGCCTTTCCCCCTCTTCCCGGCCGCCCTACCCGCCTTTCCCCCTCTTCCTGGCCGCCCTACCCGCCTTTCCCCCTCTTCCTGGCCGCCCTACCCGCCTTTCCCCCTCTTCCCGGCCGCCCTACCCGCCTTTCCCCCTCTTCCCGGCCGCCCTACCCGCCTTTCCCCCTCTTCCCGGCCGCCCTACCCGCCTTTCCCCCTCTTCCTGGCCGCCCTACCCGCCTTTCCCCCTCTTCCCGGCCGCCCTACCCGCCTTTCCCCCTCTTCCTGGCCGCCCTACCCGCCTTTCCCCCTCTTCCCGGCTGCCCTACCCGCCTTTCCCCCTCTTCCTGGCCGCCCTACCCGCCTTTCCCCCTCTTCCTGGCCGCCCTACCCGCCTTTCCCCCTCTTCCCGGCCGCCCTACCCGCCTTTCCCCCTCTTCCCGGCCGCCCTACCCGCCTTTCCCCCTCTTCCCGGCCGCCCTACCCGCCTTTCCCCCTCTTCCCGGCCGCCCTACCCGCCTTTCCCCCTCTTCCCGGCCGCCCTACCCGCCTTTCCCCCTCTTCCTGGCCGCCCTACCCGCCTTTCCCCCTCTTCCCGGCCGCCCTACCCGCCTTTCCCCCTCTTCCTGGCCGCCCTAACCGCCTTTCCCCCTCTTCCCGGCTGCCCTACCCGCCTTTCCCCCTCTTCCTGGCCGCCCTACCCGCCTTTCCCCCTCTTCCTGGCCGCCCTACCCGCCTTTCCCCCTCTTCCCGGCCGCCCTACCCGCCTTTCCCCCTCTTCCCGGCCGCCCTACCCGCCTTTCCCCCTCTTCCCGGCCGCCCTACCCGCCTTTCCCCCTCTTCCTGGCCGCCCTACCCGCCTTTCCCCCTCTTCCTGGCCGCCCTACCCGCCTTTCCCCCTCTTCCCGGCCGCCCTACCCGCCTTTCCCCCTCTTCCTGGCCGCCCTACCCGCCTTTCCCCCTCTTCCTGGCCGCCCTACCCGCCTTTCCCCCTCTTCCCGGCCGCCCTACCCGCCTTTCCCCCTCTTCCCGGCCGCCCTACCCGCCTTTCCCCCTCTTCCCGGCCGCCCTACCCGCCTTTCCCCCTCTTCCCGGCCGCCCTACCCGCCTTTCCCCCTCTTCCCGGCCGCCCTACCCGCCTTTCCCCCTCTTACCGGCCGCCCTACCCGCCTTTCCCCCTCTTCCCGGCCGCCCTACCCGCCTTTCCCCCTCTTCCCGGCTGCCCTACCCGCCTTTCCCCCTCTTCCTGGCCGCCCTACCCGCCTTTCCCCTTCTTCCTGCCCGCCCTACCCGCCTCTGGTCACCTCCCTTTTTCCGCTGCTGCCAGACTCCCTCTGCCGCCCACCAGAATGGCAGCAGCACGCACAAGGTGCGGCATGCTCTAGGGTTTGTGCAAGCGGGTTTGTCACACCCTGCACCTACCCCTCCCCGCTTCACGAACCCGTCTACTACCCACCAGGGTGGCAGCAGCAAGCAGAAGGTGCAGTATGCCAAGGCTTTCATGAAAGTATGGGCTGACCCCTCCCACTGGTGGGTTCTGGGAATTCTTAAAAACACCCTTCCAATTTCCCCTCTCCCCCCCACCGCCACCCTCCCAGGGTGGCAGCAGCAATCAGATTGTGCAGCGTGCCAAGGCGTTTGTAGAAGCAGGGCTGATCCCTCCTCTACTCCCCTCCTCCCTCCTCCCTCGTTCCACCTCTTTCCGCCCTGGCCGCCTCCCCTACACTCCCTTACCCCCTCCCAGGGTGGCAGCAGCAAGCAGAAGGTGCAGCGCGCCAAGGCGTTTGTAGAAGCAGGGCTGACCCCCCCTGCTGCCCTGCAGGCTCTGCTGCTGCGGGAGAGACGGGCAGGAGGGCGAGGGGCGGGGAGTGACGAGGGGAGTGATGATGATGATGAGGAGAGTGAGGATGAGAGGGTTGAAGGGTTGTTGGCGTGGAAGGATGAGAGGGAGAGGGCGGGGAGTTGGGGAGGTGAGGGGGACGAAAGGGGGGTGGGTGAGAAGAGAGAAGGAGCAGGGGTGGGAGGAGAGGAAGGGATGGGAGGGGCAGGCGAGGGAGGAAAGAGTGTGGAGGTGGAGGTGGAGATGAAGGAGACGGCTACAGAGGGCACGGGAGATGGGGAGGATGCGTGCAAAGTAAGGGAGACGGGAGGGAAGAGGGATGCTATCAGGGAGAGCAGTGGGATGGAGGGAGATGGAGAGGAGGAAAGCAGAGAGGAGGGAGAGGTTAGTGATAGCGATGACGGGGAGGAGGGAGAGGACGAGGGGAAGGAACACGGTGAAGAGTTGGGGGACGAGGGAATGGTGGAGAGGCAGGAGTTGGTGGGCGGACGAGAAGGGCAGAGAATGGAGGAGGACGAAGCTGCCAGGAGGGAAGAGAATGCCAAGGATGACGTCATCAGGGCAGAGGGAGGGGAGCAGCTGCAGGCAGCAGAGAGCAACAGAGCAGCCGTGGAGGCAGAGCAGGGAAAGCAGCAAGGAAAGAACATGGAAGGGAAGGCGGAGCAGGGAGGGGAGGGTGGTGGGAAGGCGAAACAGGGAGCGCAGGCGGAGCAGAGGGGGGGGAAGCTGTGGGTGCGGGTGCAGCGGCGGGAGGAGATAGAGGCGCAGCGGGCGGGGCTGCCGGTGGTGGCGATGGAGGGCGAGGTGATGGAGGCGGTGGGGAGCAGCAATGCCGTGCTGGTGTGCGGCGAGACAGGGTCAGGGAAGACGACACAAGTGCCACAGGTGTGTGGGGTGTGGGGTGTGGGGTGTGGGGTGTGGGGTGTGGGGTGTGGGGGGTGGGTGCGGGGGAGGGGAGGTGCGTGGTGCAGTCAGGGAGGGGGCGGGCGAGGCAAGGGGCAGGAAGGGCGGGGAGTCAAGGTGTGGATGGGTTAGGTGCTACCGGTGGTGGCGATGGAGGGCGAGGTGATGGAGGCGGTGGGGAGCAGCCATGCCGTGCTGGTGTGCGGCGAGACAGGGTCGGGGAAGACAACACGAGTGCCACAGGTGCGTGGGGGTGAGGCGGGTAGGTGGGTGGGGGGTGGGAGGGGAGTGTGTGGGGGAAGGCAGGGCCAGGGGGCAGGCGAGGCAATGGGCAGGAGGTGGGGAGGAGGGAGGGTGTGGGTCGTGGGGGGGAGGCAGGGTGTGGGTGGTGCAGGCGCAGCAAGCGGGGCTGCCAGTGGTGGCGATGGAGGCGGTGGGGAGCAGCAACTCCGTGCTCGTATGTGGCGAGACGGGGTCGGGGAAAACCACTCAAGTGCCACAGGTGCGGTGTGGTGGGTGGGTGAGGTGCGTGCGGGTAAGGAGGGTGGGTTCGGGTGGGGGGGGAGGTGCGTGGGGCGGGGAAGTGTACATGGGGGGGCGGGCCTGCTGTGCTTGTGTGCTTGTGTGCTTGTGTGCGGTGAGACGGGGCCGGGCAGGAAGACCTCCCAAGTGCTGCAGGTGCGTGCTGTGGGGGATTGGTGAGTACGGCAGGTCCCCTCTTTCTGTGAGTAGGGCAGGCAGGGCTGGTCGTTTGGATGAGTTGGGCTTGTTGACTTTTGAGTCGACTCAAAAGTCAACTCGATTCAGTATTTGAGGGGCTGGTGGTTTGGACGACGAAAGGGCCGTGTCGGAGGGCCAGTCAGAGCTGATGCCTTTTCATCTACCTTTCTCCTCCCTCCTCCCTTCGCCCTCCCTTCGCCCTCCCTCCTCCCTCCCCCCTCCCTCCCCCCTCCCTCCTTCCTCCCTCCCCCTCTCCCTTCCCCAGTTTCTCTACGAGGCGGGGAACGGCTCGTCCCTCCCAGGGGATGCACCTGGCATGATTGCCGTCACTCAACCAAGGAGAGTGGCAGTGATGGCCACGGCCAAGCATGAGTTTTGATATGCCTGTCCCTCTCCTTCCTCTCTTCCCCTCCCTCCCTCTTCCCTCCCGTTCCCTCCCCCTCCATTCCCCTCTTTCTCTCCTCTCCCACCCCCCCCTCTCTCTCTGTGTTCTACCCCAGTTTCTCTACGAGGCGGGGTACGGCTCGTCCCTCCCAGGGGGTGTGCCCGGCATGATCGCCGTGACTCAGCCACGAAGGGTGGCAGTGCTGGCCACGGCCAAGCGCATAGCCGATGAGATGGGCGTCACAGTGGGCAAGGAGGTCGGCTACCAGGTGCGTCTATCTGACCTGAACCCATTTTTCTCCAAATTCAGTGTTGCTCACATCCCCCCTAGCCGTGCTAGTCACTCTTTCTTGCTCGTCAATGTTGTTTTCATTGCCTTGCTCCTCACGTTTCCCCTTCCCTTGCTCCTCACGTTTCCCCTTCCCTTGCTCCTCACGTTTCCCCTTCCCTTGCTCCTCACGTTTCCCCTTCCCTTGCTGTAATTACATCCATTCTTAACAACTAACCAGTGGCTGTGGTGGTGCGTGTTGTTTGGGGGCTTGTTGGGGGTTTGTAGGTGCGGTACGACCGCCACGTGGCGGGCGGCACGGCCATTAAGATCATGACAGATGGCATCCTGCTACGGGAGGTGCAGGCAGACCTGCTGCTGCGGCAGTACAGCGCGGTGATTCTAGACGAGGCGCATGAGAGGAGCGTCAACACCGACATCCTTGTTGGGCTGCTCTCCCGCATCGTGCCCCTCCGCCAGGCATGTTGGGAGGGGGGGGGGAAAGAGGGGAGAAGGGAAGTGGGAGGGGGGAGGGGAAGGGGAAGGACGAGGAAGAGTGGGAGGGAGGAGAGGCGAGACGGGTGGGTGGACGATTTTAGAGCCTGCGGCGAAGCAATGGTGCTCTTGTCTTAATGCATGACATAAGGTAGAGATGTAATCCTAAACGGGGCGCATGAGAGGAGTGCTAATACCGACATCCTCGTTGGGCTGCTCTCCAGCATCGTGTCGCTCCGCCATGCATATTGAGGAAAGGGGGGTGGGGGGGGGGGGTGGGGAGAGTAATAAAGCCCAGTCTAATTCTCCTCTGCCGCCCCGCATCGTGCCCATCCACCAGGCATGTGTGGGGGTCGAAGAGGGGGGCACAGGGGAGAGGGAAAGGAGCAGGTGGGCAGGATGAGGCATGTCGTTTTGGTTCCTTGGCAAGTGGATAGAGGGAGGTTGGGCGGGGGGGAGGGAGCAAACAGGTTGAGCCACAGGCGTGGAATACAACACATTCACTAAGGAATTGAAGCTTGATGAAGCGGTGTGCCCTTGGAGAAGCGCTGCTGGCTTGCGAACTGTGCCTTGTAATGCTTAAGATCCGTCACTTTGAGAGCTTACGACGAACTCATTCTCAACTATACACAAATCAGCTCGATTGGATAGCGCGCCTTAGACTTAGCTAGCATCTCCAATTTGAATCGTTTAAAAAGATGGTATAGAGAATGCAAACCACTTAAAAACGTTCAGCAGTTGCATGACTAAAATGGTGAAAGAAGTACAAGCATTAAGGCATAGAAAGTTGGAGTTAGAGACTCCAAGAGAACTATGATAAAAAAAACGTTCTCCAAGAGTTAGGAAAAAATGGTAAGAACCTTCGTAATGGCAAGGATGCAACCCTCCTCATGAGGTCCTTGAGGTGATATATGCAAAATTTAATCTAACTGGATTTTGTCCAAGTGCTGCAACATGTGCAGCTCATGTTAGAAACTTCTAGCCATCCCAATTCAAAAAAAAAAAAAGGTGAAGTGCTAGCGGAAGGCACTCTTGATCCACATGATATTATATGTTTGTCGGATACCAATTTTGCACAGTTGAATACTTAATTTGTACTCTTAACCACTCAACCAAAGATCATTTTGTAGTCATGTCTCAACAAAATGATATAATAATAATATAATATCCCAAAATGATATATAATTCTCAAATCCTATAGTCATGTCTCAGAATGAAGAATGGATGATGCATTGATGTTGGTTGGGGTACATATAGCTAACCCTAAGTTTTGTACCCCCTAAGACAAACCTCACTATAGGCTACAACATTTGACACACCCCCATAGCCTAAGTGAGGGGTGTCTAGCAGAACCAAACGAGTACGGTCACAAGACCAGTCCAAGAAACAAAGCTCAGGGTGGATCACAACGTCACCACACAGTCTGAGCACAAACAACAGTGGCCACAAGGCCAGTCCAAGAAGTAACAGAGATATATAGAAAGCAAAGTAAACAGTACACTCAAGTCTAAGCAACACGAGAACCAGTGTCAACAAGGCCTAACTGCACACAGCACCTCTAGTGGTCACAAGGCGGAAGCGCCTTGGTGAAGATGTCTGCAGTGTTGGCCTCTGACTCCACAAACTCAAAGCGAGCCTGTCCACGCCTCTGCAACTCTCGAAGAAGAAAGTACCTGACGTGAATGTGCTTCACTCTGCTCTCCAGTCGTGGCTCTCGACAAAGGAGAATAGACGCCTTGTTGTCAGTGAACAAGGTCGGTGCAGAGCTCGGCCGCTCACCAAGGTCGGTGAGCAAGAAGGTCAACCAACGCAGCTCCTGTGCCGCCATGGCACCAGCGTAGATCTCAGCCTCAGCTGTAGAGGTCGAGACCGAAGAGGAGCGCGTGGACCGCCAGGAAACAGCTCCAGAACCCAGGCTGAAACAGTACCCCTGAGTAGACCTGTGAGTCTCAGCGTCGTCAGCGTAAGAGGAGTCACAGTGACCAGTAAGTACGACAGACTGCTGTCCTCCAAGAACTAGCCCCACGCCTGATGTCGTCGCTAGGTACTTCGCCACCCTCACAGCTGCTGTCCAGTGAACAGGACGGTGTCTCCCTGGCGCAACAAAGCGCGCAAGAACGCTGAGAGGGAAGGCGAGGTCCGGGCGAGTACAAGTCATCAGGTACATGAGGCAACCCACAAGCTCTGCGTAGGGACCACTAGGCTCGAACGGCTCGTCAGGAAAGGGTCCAGTGAGTCTGTGGTCAACAGCAAGAGGTGTGCGCTGTACTGTGGAGTGCTGAAGCCCGAACCGCTGAAGGACCTGCTGCACCATGTGCGACTGTGAAAGTGTGATGGTGCGAGCAGCTCTGTCCCTGGTGATCTGCAGGCCAAGGTAGTGGCGCAGCTCACCAGTGCAGGTGTGTCTCTTCTGCAGTTCGGACTTCACGTGTGCCAAAGCAACCCTGTCAGGGGTGGCGAAAACAAGGTCGTCAACGTAGACCAGAACAAAGAAAGGTGTGGTGCCACGACGAACGAACAGCGACGGGTCAGCAGAAGACGGCTGGAACCCAAGGTCAGACAGGGTAGAACGCAGGGTGTCGTGCCACTCACGAGGAGCCTGACGAAGACCGTAAACCGGTCGCCTCAGCCTCCACTGGGTCCCAGGAGGGAAAGAGCCAGTGAAGGCAGAGGGACGACGCAACCAGACCTCCTCGTGAAGACTGCCCTGAAGGAAAGCAGTAGAGAAGTCGAGAGAGTGTAACTCGTAGTCTCTCTGTGCTGCTACGTGTAGTAACACCCGAAGAGTGGTCATCTTCGGGGTGGGCGCGAAGGTCTGAAAGAAGTCAACTCCCTCGCGCTGACTGAAACCTCTAGCCACGTAGCGCGCCTTGAAGACCGGAGGAGATCCCGGTGGCCGCTTCACCCTGTAGATCCACATGCCGTCGACTACGTTCGCCCCCGGAGGGGGAACCTCATCGACGTAGGTGCCTGTGGATCTGTAGGAGGCCATCTCTGCGTCCATGGCAGCTCTCCACTGAGAGGCCCAAGGCCCTGACACTGCCTCAGCGTAAGTGCGAGGAGTCGGAATGTCAAGGGCGTCGGGGTCACCCTCAGGGGCGAGGAGCATGGCACAGAGATGAGGGGAAGCGGCCGCCAGGAACTCTAGCTCAAACTGCCTGTCCTCTAGGGCGTCACTGCCAAGGGCAGACACACCCCCGACGGCCAGAGGACTGGAAGGAGGAGCAGCCACAAGAGCGGTGGCGAAGTCAAGGCGGCGGGTAGAGGCAAACTCAGTGACTGCGGCAGTAAGAGCGGACACAGAGGACACAGAGGCACGAGGGTGGGTAACAAGAGAGGCGAGAACACGAGAGAGAACAGGACGGTACGTGCGGTAGTAGTCAGTGACAGGAGAAGGAAGCGACACAGTGAGGGCCGACTCAGGAGGAGACGGAAGCACAGACGGAGACGGACGAGGTGGACGAGAACAAAGGAAGGCTGTACGAAGGTCAGTGAAGGGAACAGGAGACGAGGGACGAGCACGAGGGGAGCGACGAGAGGCCCAAGTCTGAGAAGGAGGAGGAGACAACGAAGACTGAGGACGAGGGAAAACAGCGGGAGAGGGGTCAGGAGGAGGAAGCGGAGGACCAGAGACGGGAGGAGAGGGGGAGGAGGAAGGAGAGGGAGACGGGAGACCAAGGGTCCGAAGACCCGAGACAGGAGGAGGAGACGGCAGCAGCTGCTGCTGCTGCTGCTGCGGCTGCTGCGGCTGCTGCTGCTCCAGCGGCTGCTGCCTCTGCTGCTGCTCCTGCTGCTGCTCCTGCTGCTGTCGCTCCTGCTCCTCGAGCCGCTGCAACTCTCTCTCCTCTCTCTCCAACTCCAGCTGCTCCTCACGAGCACGGCGAACACGAGCCTGGAACCTGGTCGGGTAGGGGTGGGGGGAAGGAGTAGTGTCCGGGGCAGCCCCAGAGTCGACCTCCGAAGCACCAAGCACACCACCCCCAGAGGCAGCACCAACACCAGCTCCAGACCCAGGCTCTCCAGAAACCGAAGGGACACCCTCACCCCCAGACGCAGCACCCCCAGACTCCGCACCAGCACCCCCAGACTCCGCACGACCAGTACCAGCCCCCGGAAGACAAGAGTCCTCTGCAACCCGCGGCTCAGCTCCAACTCCAGCACCCCCAGAACCAGAGACCTGTACAGGGACAGTCGCAGGACCAACCTCTCGAGAGGGAGCACCTGCAGGAGGCGGCGAGGAAGACTGTGGGGAGGGAGGCTGTACAGGGGGGGCTACCGAAGGGGGAGGGCTAGCCTGAGACACACCAGACGGGGCTGGACCAGGGGGGGGAGGCTGTACCGGGGGAGCAGGCGGGGGAGCGGCGGTCAGGAAGAGAGGGGGGGGAGGGACCGGGAGACCTCGACTGGGGTACCTGACGTAGTAGGGGGTGGACTCCTCGAAACGGACGTCACGGGAGTCAAAGAACCGGTGAGAGGGAGGGTGGTAAAAGGTGAAGTCAGAGGAGTCCTCAGGGAAACCAAGGAAGACACAAGGAACGGCGCGAGGCGAGAGCTTGTCCGCGGAGGTGTCGCGGACAAGAGCCAAGCACCCCCAGACACGAAACCTCGACGCGACACCAGGGGACCCTGTCCAAAGACTGGTCGGTGAAGCCTCCGGCCGAGAGACGCGTGGCCAGAGGTTCAGCTGGTGCGCGGCGTACCTGACCGCGTATGGCCACAGGAAATGGGGGGCACGGGCGTGAGTCAAGGAGGTGCGGGCAATCTCCATGACCAGGCCTATGCGACGCTCAGCAACCCCATTCTGCTGTGGGGACTCCGGAAGCGTCCAGGACTGACGAATGCCCTGTTCGCGACAGAATCTAGCGAGAATGCCGGAGCGAAACTCGCCCCCGCGGTCGGAGTGGAGACAGCTGACACGACGACCACGAGTGTCCTGGGTGGTAAGCAACCACCTGATCAGCGTAGAAGTCACCTCAGACTTCCTCGCCAGGGGGAACACTGTGGTGTAGCGGGAGTAGTCGTCAACGACCACCAAAAAGAAACGCTCACGCTCAGGGCCAGGGCGAGGAGAGGGGCCCCAGACGTCCAAGTGCAGCGTCTCAAAAGGCTCGGTGGCCGGACGAAGGGAGGAGGAGTGAGGGGTGGCGCGCAGCCTACCCTCGACGCAAGGACCGCACGGTGGTGCAAGGGACGGCGGCAGCGACGGCAAGACACGCGGGAGACCTAAGACAAGACGCTGACGAGACATAGCGCGAAGACGAGGAGGAGAAGGGTGCCCCAGCCGGTGGTGCCACAAAACGGTGGGGTGGGCAAGCGACCGACAGGAGCACGACGCAGCGACCGGACTAGACGGAGGAACCTGACAAGACACAGCTACCTGGGGGGACGGAGCAACCTGGTGAGACGCGAGGACTCGAACGGGGGGCAAAACAGGGGCCGGGGGCAGGAGGGGCGGCTGTGGCTGCGGCTGCGGCTGCTGCTGCCGCTGCTGCTGCGGCTGCTGCTGCTGCTGCAGTCGCTGCTGAGGGCGCGGGCCAGTGTGAAGAGTGTAGAGACCGGAGCCCGGCTCAGCAGCAAAAGTGGCGAGGGGCTGGTAAGAGTCCCCGTCAACACACACCGCAGTCTCTCCAGAAGGCTCAAACCACACACCCACGTGCTGACTCACGAGGGGTCGCACGCCCACCAAGTTCCGGGAGAACGAGGGGACGTGAAACCCAGTGAGAGACCCAGAAGGAGCAGCCGGACACGGCAAGGTGGTAGTGTGACGCGCGGTGACTGGTCCCGAAGTGGGATCAGCCAGCGCCACAGAAACAGGCGCAGGAAGAGGCGTAAGGGTCGTGCTGTCACGAAAGAAGCAGTGAGAGGCTCCAGAGTCCAGCGTGAACGACAGCGAACCGTCCTCTGAGGTAGCCGCTGGACTAGAGTCTACACAAGAACCTACACTAGCAACAGGCAACTGAGCAAGGCTAGCACCTAAGCTAACAACACCAGAGTAAGCAGAGTCAGAAACACTAGAGTCAACAACAGCATACATAGCATGGGGAGTACCAATCAGATCAACTAACTGCTCAGCAGACATGCCCCACAGAGCGGAGCCGTAGCGCTGAACAAGAGGCAGCCAGTCAGGGGCAGGAGCACCAACCCCGTAGACCAAACGAACCGTGTCAGTGAGCTGAGCAAAGCACTGACCAGGGGGGTGAAACCGGCCACAAGGGTGGCCACGACGAGTGCCTGTCAGAACCTGGTAGGTGCAGGGAGTGTAAGCAGCACCGCGCTGGGTCTGACGCAGCCCCGACCCTGGAGCCAGCTGCTGCCGCTGCTGCTGCTGAGGCTGCTGGGAGGAGAGGGGCTGCTGGTGCTGCAGAAGCTGCTGCTGACGCTGAGCCTGGTACCACGCCGCTGCTCCGCCAACCGGGGCAGGAAGTACAGGAGGCGACTGACGAACTCGGGCGTCGCCACCACCAGCAGGCGCAGTGGAGTCACCAGTCACTGCACGAGGCGCCTCTCCAGGCCCTGAACCTCCACCGCCGCCAGGCGCAACGCCACCTCCACTACCTCCGCCTCCACCTCCACTACCACCACCAGAACCGCCTTTCTTGCCACTCCTACCGCGGGACCGCGACGCAGTCGTAACAGCAGCTGCAGTCGCGTCAGTAGCGGCAGTGGCAAGTGAGGCAGTAAAGGTGGGTAACTGCGGGACTGTGCACCCGTGGAAGAGTGGGGGGGGCACAGCACCAGAGGCAGCGGCTACCGAGCGAAGGTTGCTCTCGACGTCCTTGAGTGCAGACTCAAGGACCTCGACGGTGAGCTCACTAGGGTGCTTCAGCAGAAGCGCGTCGCGAACGGAGGCAAGGCGGTCAGGGAGGCTAGTGGCGATGAAATAGATAGTAATCGCCATAGGGGGAGGAAGCAGTGCAAGCTGTGCCTCAGTGCAAGCAGCGCGGTAACTAGCGTCGAGCGAGCGGAGGTGAGCGATCAAGTCAGCAGAGCGCTCAAAAGACGCCAGGTCAGGAAACAGGAACGGGAGGAACAGGCGGCCAAGAGAGACAGCAGCGGGAGTAGAGTAGCGGGCCTTAATCGCAGTGAGGTACGCAGCAGCGGTGCGAACCTGAGTGAAGTGAACCTCCTCAGACTCAGGGAGGAGGCTGCTGAGCGCGATGCAGGCCGCAGCGTCACGTGACGTCCAAGCCGTCTGGTCAGCTCGCTGAGTGGCAAAGCGGGCTCTAGCGGCGTCGTCAGGGGCAGGTCCTAAAGGCGTAGGGTCGGGGGGCGCAGGTAGGGCACCAGTAGCGTGCGCCCAGAGGGACTCGCCTGCCTGGACCTGACTCTCTAACAGACGGCGAGCACGAAGAAGCCAGACGGAAAAATCAAGAGGTCTACCGTCAGCGTCGAAACGAAGGACACGCTGAGTCGCCATAGCGAAAACGAACGCGAACGGAGAGGGAGGGGACAGCAGTAGATGAGAGGCAAATTAGGGTTCGGCGGTACTCTGGGACAGGGGAGGAGCGGACGCCACAGCGGGCGTGACAGCGGGAGGTAACAGGGGACTAAGCAGCGGAGAACGAGAACGGGCGCAGCGGCGGGCGATGGCAGCGCGTACGGCAGCAGGGGCCAGCAGCGCGCGCAGCGGGCGACGGCAGGGGGCGCAGCGGCGACGCGCGCAGCGGCGGGCGACGACGGCGGGGCCGCAGCGAGGCGCGCAGGGGGCGGGCGACGGCGGCAGGCGCGGCGGCGACGAGCGCGGTCGCGAGCGACAGCGGCGGGCGCTGCGGGACGGGCGACTCGACGGGGGGAGAGGGCAGGAGCGACGGGACAGGGGGAGGGCGACGTGACGGGGGGAAAGGGGCGGGTGCGACGGGACAGGGGGAAGGCGACGTGACGGGGGGAAAGGGGCGGGTGCGACGGGACAGGGGGAGGGCGACGTGACGGGGGGAAAGGGGCGGGTGCGACGGGACAGGGGGAAGGCGACGTGACGGGGGGAAAGGGGCGGGTGCGACGGGACAGGGGGAAGGCGACACGACGGGGGGAAAGGGGCGGGTGCGACGGGACAGGGGGAAGGCGACGTGACGGGGGGAAAGGGGCGGGTGCGACGGGACAGGGGGAAGGCGACACGACGGGGGGAAAGGGGGGGGGCGCGACGGGACAGGGGGAAGGCGACACGACGGGGGGAAGGCGCGGACGCGACGCGACGGGGGGAGCGCGACGCGACAGGGGGAAAGGGACGGGCGCGACTCGAGGGGGGGGGGAAGGCGACGCGAAGGGGGGGGGGGGCGGGCTACGCTACGAACGAGAGCGTGGCTCGGCGCTAGGCTCGGTAACAACGAGAAGGAGACGAACGAGAGCTAGGATCAGGCTCGGGTGGTACGAACGGAGAACGGCGGAACGGGATCCCACAGGATCCTAACCTAACTGATACCATGTCAGAATGAAGAATGGATGATGCATTGATGTTGGTTGGGGTACATATAGCTAACCCTAAGTTTTGTACCCCCTAAGACAAACCTCACTATAGGCTACAACATTTGACAGCAACCCTCCTCATGAGGTCCTTGAGGTGTTATATGCAAAATTCAATCTAACTGGATTTTGTCCAAGTGCTGCAACATGTGCAGCTCATGTTAGAAACTTCTAGCCATCCCAATTCAAAAAAAAAAAAAAGGTGAAGTGCTAGCGGAAGGCACTCTTGATCCACATTATATTATATGTTTGTCGGATACCAATTTTGCACAGTTGAATACTTAATTTGTACTCTTAACCACTCAACCAAAGATCATTTTGTAGTCATGTCTCAACAAACGCTTACTTCATATAATATCCCAAAATGATATATAATTCTCAAATCTTGAAAATCTTGTAACTTGAGCGATCTTGGTCGGAAAAAATACGATATTTGTATATTTGAAAACCTCTGAATTTCTACTGGATGGTCAAGCATTTAAATTTGGAGAAAAAAACACAGAGTTGATAAAATTGTCACCAAATACAGTGGTAAAGAACAATATATTTGGTTATACGCTAGAGTAGGTGTAGCAAGGTGTAGGTTGGGATTATGCAACTTTACGGAGGGGTTGTTGAGCCTCAGGGGAATGACGCGAAGTTGGTAGCATGGGGAATTAGGACATTGGGAAGAACAACAAGCGCCTCAAGGAGCAGGAAATCTGCAGCAGCCAGTGAGGCACATGGCGACTCGAGCCCAACCCAAGGACATAGAGATGGTCGTGACTCTGGGGAGGGAATAAAGTAGCCTGGCCTAGTCACTAGAACCTGTTCTCTCGTTTTGTTTGCCTATTATAGTGGATTCAATTCACCGTTCTAAGGCTACGGCAGCTAGGTGATGCGCCACTGAGGGCAGCCAGCTTGTGGGAGCAGGGATCTCTCACAAAACGAGAGAAGCTTACCGGCGAAATGGATCGCCACGATCTGCGTGTGCAGCGTACATACTCACGGCGGGAACGATCTCCGTCGCGGATGAGGCGCTCGAGGGAGCGTGGGAGATCGCCGACACGCTCGCCACGACGGGCGGCGTATCGCGCGGATCCGGTGACGCCGACGGGCGTGCGAAGGGAAGAAAGCGGGGAGGACCAGCGTGTCAGGTCAGAGCCGTGGAGGCGGCCCGTGATCAGCAACCCGTGGAACCTGGCAGGAGGCCAGCGCGGGATGGATGGAAGGCGTGATAACGCCGACGACGACGAATCCCCCACTGCGCGGGGCGGCGGAAGGCGTGATAACGCCGATGACAACGGATCTCCCACTGCGCGGGGTGGTGGAAGGCGTGATAACGCCGATGACAACGGATCTCCCACTGCGCGGCGGAAGGCGTGATAACGCGGACGACGACGAATCCCCCACTGCGCGGGGCGGCGGGAGGCGTGATAACGCCGATGACAACGGATCTCCCACTGCGCGAGGCGGCGGAAGGCGTGATAACACCGACGACAACGGATCTCCCACTGCGCGGGGCGGCGGAAGGCGTGATAACGCCGATGACAACGGATCTCCCACTGCGCGGGGCGGCGGAAAGCGTGATAACGCCGAGGACGATGAATCCCCCACTGCGCGGGGCGGCGGAAGGCGTGATAACGCCGACGACAACGGATCTCCCACTGCGCGGGGCGGCGGAAGGCGCGAGGCGGCCGACGACGACGAATCCCCCACTGCGCGGGGCGGCGGAAGGCGCGACGCGGCCGACGACGACGAATCCCCCACTGCGCGGGGCGGCGGAAGGCGTGACGCAGCCGACGAGGAGGAGTTCCCCACTGCGAGGGGCGACGGAAAGCGCGGCAGCGCCAACGATGAGGAAGATTTCCCTGTTGCACGGGAAGGAGGAGGGCAAGGTTACGAGAAAAGGGATGAAAGGGGGCGAGTCCGACGCGGAAAGGTGCGGGGGGATGACGGAGAACACGGGAATAAGGAGCACTCACTTGCAGGACGGCAGGAAGAGGGAAAGAGGGCATCAGCGGGTGTCTTCCGCTCGCCTGAGCCGAGGACAGGATATGATCGCAGACGGCGCATGGCGATGGGTGAAGGTCGGCGGGCAGAGCGGGGAATGCGGGAAGAAAGGCTTGACTACGAGGAGCGACGCCTGCAGAGCCCGCCTGAATGAGAGCGGGTGCGCAACAGAGAAAGACGAGAAGGGGGCTGGGGAAGGCGATCCCCGCACGGCTCCAGAGCAGAAGGAGGAGGCCAGCAGCGAAGGGAGCAAGAGTGGCATCGCCAGGAACGTTCACCTGTGCAGAGAGATGGACGATGGGAGGATCAGGAAAGGTGCAGGAGACACTGCGAAGACGACCAGAGGAGAGGTCCGAGTCCGAATGGCACTAGGAGGCTTAGGCAACATGGAGAGGGATCGAGTGGGGCTAGGGCAGCTCGTGAGGGACTGGAACGAGCACTGTACGGGACCAGCGCAGGAAGCAGAGGAGACAAGGGAAAGCAGCGAGGGCTGCTCTGTCAGATCGGGGAGGCTCTGGGAGTTGGGATATGGGGAGATGGGGCGCAACGGCAGCACCACGGGTGGAGGTGCCGGTGCGTTTCACAGGGAACGAGAACACAGGACCAAGCCTCAAGAACTACCTGATGCAGATTAGCAACGTGAAGTACCGGTGTGATCGAAGCGGGATGGACCCCATAGACTTTTTCCTGAGCCTGCCAAACACACTAGCAAAAACCCTATATCGCATGAAGATGGGAGAGTGGCTGAGAAGGGCCGATGAAGATGAGGAGGACCCGACGGTGCTGTTTCTGGACCGGCTGCGAAAGCAGTTTCCAGGGCACACAGCAGCACGCATCAAAGAGTTTCAAGAGTTCAAGAGGAGGGACGAGGAATCCTTACTGACGTATTACAGGAGGCTGATGAATCTAGCGGAAGACGTGGTGTGCACGGACAGCAGTATGATCATTAGTAAATTCTTGAATGGGTTGGACAAGGGACTGGCGGGGGGAACTGAGAATGCAAGTCTACGAGCTGGGAGCAGATGCGACACCTGAGGAGGTGTTTGAGCTAGCAGAGAGAGTGGAGCTAGCAGAGAGAGTGGAGCTAGCAGAGAGAGTGGAGCTGGCGCAGAGGAAGTATGAGGTGTACCTCCCAAGGCCAACAGAGAGGAAGAATCCCACTTGGGCTGCCGCAATGATACCTGAGACAGGGGGGAGGGAAGAGAGCCGACAGGAGAGGGGAGCTGAGACACGCACCTGCCACCGATGCAAGCAACCTGGGCATCTGATGAGAAACTGCAGAAATTGTGACACCTGTGGGAAGCCAGGGCACCGCCGGAAAGATTGTCCGGAGGCACCAAGCTGTGAGGTGTGTGGGAAGCGGGGGCATAAGGGGAAGGACTGCTACCAACGCACAGGAGGGCCAAGGAGGACACCAGAGGAGGAGATAGAAGGGCAGATAGGGAGATTGCAAGCACAGCTGCAGGCTGGGAGGGAAGAAAGAAAAGGAGGCAGGATTGTATGCAAGGGAAGGGGATGACGAAGCAGAGGTGATAGATGAGCCAGCGCCCGAGTAAAATTTTATGGTGTTGCGCAGCCGAGAGGAGTTGGGCCTGCGCAGCGGGGGCAGGGATGGCAGAAAGGAACACATGGTTAGGGAGAGGAGCAGGCCAAAGAAAGCACCAGAGGAGAAGAGTAGCGGGGAAGAGGAGCCAGCCAGGCACCCCAAGGAGCAGCTAGCCAGTCAAGCGACGGTGCTGGTAGCGGGAGCCGGAACAGTGGCAGTGGGAGGGGAAGTAGCAAGAACCGCGATAATAGATACGGGGGCACAAAGCGTGATGTTGGGGAGGCGGCTAGCAGAGAAGCTGGGGTTGACCGGACCGGGACAGCACATAAAACGAGGAATGCTAGTCATGACCGCAGAGGGGGGAGAGCCTAAGTGGCTACCGTGCACCAAGACTCCAGTGGAGATAGTCCTGATGCCGGGGAAGGAGGAACAGACGAGTATAAGGCTGCAGTGTGGGATCTCAGACTCAGAAGATTTTGATGTACTGCTAGGCACGGACCTGATCTGGGGAGTGGGGATGACCATCTGCACATGGAAGGAGAAAGTGAAGTTTCGGAAACAGTATTGGGAGAGGGGAAGCAAGACGGGAGAGCTGCCCGTATCATTCACGAAGCAGGAGCCGAAGAGGGCGTACACGGCTGGGCAGACAGGGACAAGGGAGAGGGGGAGAGCAGGACTCGTGGGTAAGGCAGCAACGGTCAACGCATGGCAAGAGCCCATAAAGCTGGTAGAACTGTTCGGGGGAATAGGGGCAGGGCTAGCAGCGGTGCTCAAGGCAGGAGTGGCCGTGAAGGAATGGATATACGTGGAAAATAATGAACAGGTGAGGAAGATGGCAGAGCATCACGCGAGGAAGCTGCAACAAGAGTATCCCGAGCTACTGGAAGAGGCAGTGATAGTGAAGGCAATGCGAGGAACAGTGACTGACGTAAGGAGCATCACGCGGGAGGTGGTGAGGAGCTGGGGGCATGTAGACCTGCTGGTGGCAGGATGGGAGTGTCAAGCGGTGTCAAGGGCAGGGAAAGGTAAGGGATTAGGAGATCCAAGAGGGGCACTGCTGGTGAACCTGCTGTGCATTATAGACTGGATTAGGGAAGGACAGGAAAAGGTCGTGTACCTGCTGGAGCACCTGGACCTGGAAGGGGACTACAAGGAGCCTGTCAGGAAGGTTCGGGAGCTGGTGACAAGGAAGCTGGGGAAGGGAGTGAGATGTGATGCGGCCAGGCTGGGGGCACGAGCTCATCGTGTCAGACGATATTGGCAGAATGTCGTGCCAGATGAGCAACTGCAGCAAGAGATGGATGGGATACGCAGGGACGGGAGCAGGACCGTGCGAGAGATTCTAGAGCCTGGTAGGACAGTGGCACCCGTTAGGAAGGGCAGACACGAGACACAAATCCCCGTGCAACAAGGTGGGGGTAGAACGTAGGGCATGGCCGACATTAGTAGGGTATGAGGGGGCAGCTGGGTTCAGAGAGGAAGATGGACTGCCAGGAGAAGGCATGGTGTATGACTGTGCTAGAAAGGGAATTAGCGATGGGGTATGGAGAGGAGGTAACAAAGGCAGCAGGGGTGGCGGAAAAAGAGAGGAGGAGAGCATTAGGACAGGCCATGGACGGACAAGTCATGCTGTGGTTACTGAGGCGGATGTGGAGAGGGCTGGTGCTGGAAGAGGAAAAAGGAGAAGGGGGTGTGGGGACAGGGGTGAACAAAGTGGGGGCATGGGCGTGCATGGCAGCCAAGGAAGAGCCGGTGTGGGTTGTGGGGAATGCAATGAGCGAGAAAGGAGAGGCAATGCAGGAGGTGTTGGCAAGGTACAGACACGCCTTCGCGTTCACCCTGCAGGAGCTGGGGAAGTGTTCGGTGAAACAAATGGAGCTGAAGCTGGTGACGGAAGAGCCGGTGTTTCAAAGGAAGCGGAGGATGACACGTGGAGATGAGGATATCTGCAAGGAGAAATGTAGGGAGTTGATGGAGGCAGGGCTGATACAGAGGTCGGAGTCAGAGTACGCGACACCTACTGTGGTGGCTGCCCGGAAGGACCTGCTGGGGGAAGTGCTGAGCAGACGCATGTGCGGGGACTATCGAGCACTGAACAAGGTGACAGTGCTCGATAGGTACCCAATGCCCACAGCCGAAGATATCTTTGACCGATTGGGCGCAGGAGAGATCTTTAGTACGCTGGGCTTAAGACAGGGGTTCAACCAGATCAGGATAAGGAAAGATGACGTACAAAAGACAGCGTTCCATGGTGCAGATGGACTGTACGAGTGGCTATTCATGCCATTCGGGCTGAGAAACGCGTCAGCCATCTTTCAGAGGGTGATGGATAGCGTGCTGAGGGGATTGGAGTGCGCAGCGTGTTACGTAGACGACGTGGTGATTTTCAGCAGGACCGAAGAAGAGCACGTAAGAGACGTGGAGCAGACACTGAAGGCGCTGGCAGCAGCCGGGCTGACATGCCACCCAAAGAAGTGCAGGTGGGGAGAGGCAACCGTGCAGTACCTGGGGTACGAAGTCAGGGGCGGGCAGTCAGGGATTCAACAGGCGAAGATTGAAGTGCTAAACAGGCTGCAGCAGCCAAAGGACAGGAGCGGACTAAGGGCGGTGCTAGGATTTCTGAGCTATTACCGCAGGTTCGTCCCGAATTTCAGCAAGCGGGCTGCGCCACTGAACGGGCTTCTGAAGGAGGACAGGAAATGGGAATGGGGGATGGAGCAGGAAGCAGCACTGAAGGATCTGATGGAGGCGGTGGAGACGGCGACAATTCTGCAGCTGCCCAGGGCGGACAAGCCCTTCTGCCTATACACCGACTGGAGCAGCTAGGGCATGGGGGCAATCTTGTGTCAGGAGTTGGATGGGGAGGAGAGGGTCGTGGCATATGCAAGCAGGAGCTGCAGCCCAGCGGAAGCCAAGTACAGCTCTTACCACGGGGAGGGGTTGGCAGCCGTGTGGGCTGTGAAACATTTCAGGGTATACCTGCAGGGGAGGGAGTTCACACTGATCACAGACCATCAGCCCCTGCAGTGGCTGATGACACACCAAGGGCTGACAGGGAGAAATGCACGGTGGGCTGTGACGCTACAGGAGTATGACTTTAAGATACGCCACAGGCCAGGAAAGACGCTGCAGCACGTAGACGGGCTCTCAAGGAACCCACCGGCAGCAGAGCCATCGCACATGCTGATGTTGCTGCCGAGGCAAGGAGGCAGTAGCCGGGAAGCAAGAGGGGCCAAAGGACATTTGGGAAGATCCAGTGGCCCTGCGATGGATCCAGGGAGAAACCGAAGAGGATGAGTAGGTCTCTGAAAGGGTGAGGGCACGAGGCCATCATTACAGATGGTATAAGGGGCAGCTGCAGCTACAGTCGGTGGATGGGTGGAAGCTGGTACCTGTGCCGCAGGACAGGGAGGGAGTGATTAAGGAGGTGCACAGGAAGTTGGGGCACTTTGGGCTCGAGCGCACAACGGAGCTGCTGAAGACAGGCTGGTGGTGGGAGGGAATGAGAAGGCAGGTCAGGGAGTGGGTTAGCGGATGCGAGGGTTGTCAGAGGAGTAAGGCCAGCCTGACACAGGCGAAGCAGGAGCTGCACTCACTGCCAATAAGAGGGTTAGGGTTCAGGTGGTCGCTGGATATAGTGGGTGAGCTGCCGCTGAGCAGAGGAGGCAAGCAGTATATACTACTCATGGTGGAGCACGCGAGCAAGTGGTTGGAGGTGTGTGCGTTGCCGAGCAAGGATTCCAGGCACGTGGCAAAGGCATTCAAGGGACAGGTCCTCTGCAGGTTTGGGGCACCAGGGGAAGTGCTCACAGATCAGGGGACAGAATTTAGAGGGGAATTTCAGACGCTGTTGGATGAGGCTAGGGTGACACACAGGCTGACATCGAGATATCACCCACAAAGCGATGGGTTGACTGAGCGCCTGGTGCAGACACTGAAACGGAACCTGAGGGCCTACGGAGAGAAGCGCAAGAGGGATTGGGATGAGGAGTTAGATTGGATTGCAGCGGGGTACAGGTTCGGGAAGCAGGCCTCCCTGAAAGACTACTCCCCTTATAGCATGCTGTTTGGAAAGGAGCCAATCCTGCCAGTAGGGGCGCCGAGGGTGCTGACGGATGTGGTTCAAGTCACAGGAGCGGACCAGTGGGTGGCACTAGCGGAGGCGCGAGCGCGCTACAAGCGGGAGATGCTCCCTGCAGCGCTAGAAAACCTACACACGGCGCAGTTGAGGGATGCACACAGACATGAGCAGCGGCAGCAGCAGGGTGGCAGGAAGGCCAAGCCAGCAGTGATGGAAGGACAAGAAGTGTACTTGCACAGGACAAAGAGGGATACGCTGGACGTGGGGTTAGGGACGCAGAGATGGAAGGTGAAGGAGGTGAGAGGGTCCGGAGTGCTGGTGCTGGAGAACGAAAAGGGGGAGCGGACCGTGGATCATCAAACCAATGCCGCGGCAGTGAAGGGACGGGGGCCTCAGCAAGAGGGTCCTGTGACTCGCGCGCGGGCAGCCCGAGCACGAGCACAGGAGGGGGCAGGTTGTGGCTGAGGCAAAAGCACGCCAGGGGCTGCAGGCAAGCAGGGAAGTGCAGAAAGAAGAAGGGTAGAGGTCAAGGGAGGAAGCAGACAAGGGGTAAGGTGAGGAAGAGGAGATCTCCGACAGCTGTCACCAAATACAGTGGTAATTAACAATATATTTGGTTATACGCTAGAGTTGGTGTAGCAAGGTGTAGGTTGGGATTATGCAACTTTACGGAGGGGTTGTTGAGCCTCAGGGGAATGACGCAAAGTTGGTAGCATGGGGAATTGGGACATTGGGAAGAACAACAATCGCCTCGAGGAGCAGGAAATCTGCAGCAGCCAGTGAGGCACATGGCGACTCGAGCCCAACCCAAGGCCATAGAGATGGTCGTGACTCTGGGGAGGGAATAAAGTAGTCAGGTTGGGTGACTGTAGTCACTAGAACCTGTTCTCTCGTTTTGTTTGCCTATTATAGTGGATTCAATTCACCGTTCTAAGGCTACGGCAGCTAGGTGATACGCCACTGAGGGCAGCCAGCTTGTGGGAGCAGGGATCTTTCGAAAATACAGAGTTGATAAAATCCATTCAGCCACGCATAATGACCTATGCTCATGCAAATCATGCAAACACAAATGGCACGAGCACTCGCAGGACGTTTAGGATGACATGCATTCAAAATGACGTGCATTCAACACCTTGAGCGCGGACACACACAAGTGTTGAGAGCACGTATGATATGATGAGACCACTGATAGAACGAGAGCATGAAAGGATGAAGAGGTGAAAGGACGGTCGTGGCACTCTCTCTGGTGGGCTGATGCTAGACATGAGCAAAAATTCGAACCCCTGTTCGGTTCGACTTGAAAGTGTTCGACTCGAACGTGTTCGACTGTTTTATTTGCCCAAAATTGTTCGTGACGAACACCTTGGTGTTCGTCACAACCACGTTCGACTGTTCGAGTGTTCGTGTGCAGAAAAATGCACGAACACCTAGGTGTTTGCGAACACAATGTGTTCGTCGCAAACACCTAGGTAGGGATGAGCACCGGACGAACATCGAACATGTTCGTCCGAACATCCTCGAACACACTCTGTGGGCGATCCGAACCGAACAGGTTCGCCCGAACTATTTTTAATGGAAAACCATGTTCGAGGTTCGCCCACTGTGGGCGAACCTCTTAAAGGGGCCCGAACTTGTGACATGTTCGGGCGAACCCGAACATGTTCGGGTTCGCCCAACACTGCAGGGGGGGGGGGGGGGGGGGGACCAGCTTACGTTTCAGTGGATGTGAACCCCCAGTGGGAAAATGGATGCTCATTCCTTTACCAATCTCACCCCTTGTACTCACCTATAAACCATGGAAACCTGTTTCAGAGCCGAGGAGAGGAGCACTGTCAACAAGGCATAGCGAACCCAGCAACGCACACCCTGTCACCATAGTTACAAGCAGGGCAAGGTTCTAACCGTTACAACCTGCTGGCACAACCCTAAAACATATCCTAACACCCCATTTGTGCCTACCTAATGGTAGATTTGGGAGATTTAGTATAGGAAGGTAAGTGGGATGGCGTATTGGCTAGGTCAACACTAGGAAAAGTAAATCGAGATGTGAAACAGCTCGATTTACTTTTTCCGTCACTTACGTAGCCAACCAGCGCGACCAATGTCGCGCTGGAAATTTCCCGAACATCTCAGATGTTCGGGAGAACGCGGTACATGCCCGAACATGTTCGATGTTCGGGCATGTACAAATGCGCGCGCCGCGAACGGCCGAACATGTTCGGGCCGAACCCGAACATGTTCGCGCGAACATTTTAACGGAAAAAAAAAAAACAAAATAGTTCGGTTCGCCCCCGAACATGTTCGGGCGAACCGAACACACGTTCGCGATTTTGCTCATCCCTACACCTTGGTGTTCGAGGGAAAATTCAGCGCGTCAAAGTTTGACGCGCTGGTTGGATCTAAAAGGAGAGGGCGACAATTGAGCTCAAGAATGAGCTCAATCGTCGATATAGCCTAAGGATGGCATTCGCCCCCCTACCCACTTTAACTACCACATTCCCACGGTTCAAATTCCACAGTGTGGCTGGAAACGTTAGGTATAAGGTTGGATTAGGGTAGGAGACGGTTAACAAAAGGAACTAAGGGCATTTAGGTTGAGGTTGGAGTTTAGCAAGGCAAAATTGGATATCCACCAGATCTGCGCCAAGCCTAACTATATCTCTTGTAGGGCTATAGGGAACGTGATATTGCTTCTAGTACACTCGCCCTGCCTGATTGTGACTATACTGAAAGAACCCCCCAAGGCAAACTGTTCGAGTTTGGGTCAAACTGTTCGGCCTTGCCTCAAAACTGTTCGACCCTATACTCGAATGGGGAACACTAACATTTCAGAAAACTGTTCGAGTCAAACGTGTTCGGTTCGGTTCGAATTGACCAAGTGTTCGCAAACTGTTCGAGACAAACGTGTTCGGTTCGCTCGTTGCTCATGTCTAGCTGATGCCTCCGGAGAAGCGCAGCTGACAGCAATTTCTGTGCCTGAAATAGACACACACACATGAGTGTTGAGGGCACGGATGAAAAGTTGAAAGGTCGTTCATGGCACACTCGCCTGCCAGTGGGCTAAACCCATGGGGTAGCGCTGCTGGCAGTATCCAATGTGCCTGGAGCGCGGTCACACGAGTGTGCCACACAGCAACGCCCGAGCTGCTCTCTGCCCCGCTGCCCTGGGAGGCGCGCTGCCTCCCTGCCATGGCTGCCGGGGTCGTTCCGCTAGCTCACATGCACGAAACTCATGTGTACCAAGATCACGTGTCTGCCCTCTCCAAGCTCCCTTAAAAATCATCATCACAAGTCACACGTACGTTCCCATCTCATCCCACCTCTTCCCTCTCCCCTTTCTCTCCTCCCCCTCGCCACCCGCCTCTTCTCTCTCTCCTTGCTCTCCCTCATCACCCACTTCTTCCCTCTCTCCTTCCTCTCTGCAGAAGCTATATGATGAAGCGAAGGCGGCCGGTCGTTCGTCCTCCGCCCCGCCACCCCTAAAGCTCATCATTATGAGCGCTACTCTCCGCATCTCAGATTTCACTCTCAACACGCGCCTCTTCCCAGCGGGCCCTCCCCCTGTCGTCTCCGTGCCTGCCCGCCAATTCCCCGTCACTGTTCACTTTGCCCGCCGCACCGAGCTCGTGGATTACGTCCGGGCAGCCGAGAAAAAAGTTTCAGCAATCCATCGGAAGCTACCCCTGGGGGGGTTTTGGTGTTTCTGACTGGGCAGAGGGAGGTGGAGGACCTTTGCAGGAAGCTTTGGAAGAAGTTTCCGATGAAGGTGGGAGGGCAGAGGAGGGGGGAAGATGGGGACAGAAGAAAGGGAAGGCGGGGGAGCAGCGGGGTTGGGGGCAAGGAGGGTGGAGGAAGGGGAAGTGGGGGCCGAGATGGAGTGAATTTCGGGGCAGCAGGAGGAGATAGCAAGAAAACGGGTGGGGAGGGGAAGACGAGGAAGGGGGGTACAGGGGAGGAGGTGGAGGGAGAGGGAAGAGCGGGAAGAGAGAGTGGTGAGGGTGCAGAGGGAGGAGAGGCGGATGGTGGGGGTGCGGAGCAGCAGGGCGAACACGATGCAAACCTGGATGCCATTGTGCGGCTGGAGGGCGGAGGGGGAGCAGGGAAGGATGGCAGTGGGAGGGAGGGGGAAGTGAGGGACGGGGAGGCGGGGAGAGAAGGGGAGGAGGCAGTGGGTGGCGTGAGGGATGGGGAGGAGGAGGAGGCGGAGTGGGAGGCGGTGGTGGAAGGGGGAGAGTATGAGGGCGAGGAGGGGGGAGATGACTATGAGGAGGACGAGGAGGGGGATGAGGAGGAGGAGTGGGAAACGTGGGGCTTGCTGGGAGGGGAGAAGGGCGAGGGTGGGGAGCTGCAGCAGGCAGGGTCAGTTGGGGAAGCAGCGGCAGGGGATGCAGCAGTGGCAGCTGAGGCAACAGGAGGGGGTGGGGGGGCTGGCAGTAGCGCCTCTCCCCCTGACAATGGGGAGCAGGCAGGGCCGGGCGGCATGTATGTGCTGCCGCTGTACGCCATGCTGCCTGCCGCCCAGCAGCTCAAGGTGTTTGGAGCCGTGCCTGAGGGGTGCCGCCTCGTGGTGGTCGCTACCAATGTTGCTGAGACCTCCATCACCATCCCAGGTGATTGCAACAAATCAGGTGATTGCAGCAGATCAGGTGATTGCAGCAGATCAGGTGATTGCAACAGATCAGGTGATTGCAGCAGATCAGGTGATTGCAGCAGATCAGGTGATTGCAACAGATCAGGTGATTGCAGCAGATCAGGTGATTGCAACAGACAGCCCCACCGATGGTCCTTATGGTAACTTAGAAAGGACAGGTACGTTCTAGATCTGGTGTCAACCGTTCATGCTCGTGTTCGAGGCGAACACTAGCAATGTTTGGTTCGGATTTTCAGGATTTCGAGGCGAACATGTTTGAGTTCACCTCCCCACCCACACCTCCCCCCTCTCGCAGGCATACGCTACGTGGTGGACACAGGGCGGGCCAAGGTGAAGCAGCACACAGGGGGGGCGGGCTTGGCGCGCTTCACAGTGGAGTGGATCTCGCGGGCCTCAGCGGACCAGCGCGCCGGCAGGGCAGGGCGCACGGGGCCGGGGCAGTGCTACCGGCTGTTCTCGAGCGCTGTGTTTGCCAACCAGTTTGAGGCTTTTGGGCAGGCGGAGATTGAGAGGACGCCCATTGAGGGCGTGGTGCTGCAGATGAAGGCCATGGGCATCGATAAGGTGAGAGGAAGGGCCATTGGGCATGCGGTGCATTGAAGGGTTCAGGCATGGGTAAGGTGCATTGAAGGGTTCAGGCATGGGTAAGGTGCATTGAAGGGTTCAGGCATGGGTAAGGTGCATTGAAGGGTTCAGGCATGGGTAAGGTGCGGTCTAGGCCTGAGGCATGAGGGCGTGAAACCGCTGACCATTTCCTTCACATTACGTAAACCCGTCCCAATGTATACCTCCCTCCCTTTTTCGCCCACCACCGTCTGGTCCCTTCCCACCAATGCCCCGCAGGTTCTCAACTTCCCCTTCCCAACGCCCCCCGACCCCCACTCCCTCGCTTCTGCCCTGCGCTGCCTTCAGCACCTCTCCGCCCTTCCCCCACCCGCCTCCCCCTCCCCTTCCCCCTCTCCCTCCTCCCCCACCATCACCCCTCTCGGCCGCGCCATGGCTTCCCTGCCAATCAGCCCGCGCCACGCGCGCACCCTACTAGCCATCCTGCTCGAAGCTGCCAGGAAGGTTCCAGTGGCGTATCGGATGGTTGGCAGCGCGGGGAGCAGGGGTGGGGCAGAAGGGGGGGATCAGCGGAAGGGTGGGAGGGGAGGGGTGGGGGGTAGGAAGGGGAAGAGGAGGTATATGGAGGGGGGGGCAGACGAGGAGGGTGGGGGCGAGGGGTGTGAGCACAGCCAGAATGAGAGAGAGGGGGAGATGGGTGTGGAGGAGAAAAGGGAGGGGGAGGGGGAGAAGGTGGAGGGGGAGGGGGAGGTGGGGAGGGTGAGTGCGTTGGTGGTGCGGTATGCGATAGCGGTGGTGGCGGCCATGAGTGTGGAGAGCCCCTTGTTGCGCCACCATGATGCGGGCATGGCGGGTCAAGGGGATGCTGGGCCGATGGGTGAGAGAGGAGACGGGGAGGTTGGCAAAAGAGGAAGAGAGGGGGTGGATGGTGTGGGTGGTGGGGGTGACAGTGGCGCTAAACACGCTGCCGCTGCTGCTCCCTATGGCAAGGTATTGAGTCGCCGCGCAGCGCATGCGCTCTTCTGGAGCCGCAGCAGCGACGCCATTACTGCCGCCAACGCCCTGCGAGCCTATGACGCTGCTGTCCGCGCGGGCAAGGGGGGGCGGGAGAGCAGGAGCAGCGGGGGCAAAGGGGGCGCGGGCGCAGGGGGGTGGGGGGGAGCGGGGGAGCGGTTCTGTCAGCGGTTGTACCTGCGGGAGCGGTGCATGAGGGAGATGTCTCAGCTCGCCCACCAGCTCTCCCGCCTGCTCCTCACCGGCACACGTACCCACCTCCTGCAATCCTTCCTCTCCCACGCCCTCTCCTCCTCCCCCCCCTCCTCCACCTCGTCCCACCCCGCCGCGCCCGCGCCGCTTGCTCTGCTGGTGGAGAGGGGGGAGCAGTTGTGGGCGGGGAGAGAGGGGAACAAGGAGGGGCAGGTGGAGCCACAGTTGAAAGACTGGGAGGAGGGGCTGATTCGCAAGGGCCTGGCAGCAGGCTGGCCCGACCGCCTCGCGAGAAAATTGGCTCCCGGAGACAAATCAGCAGTAGCAGCAGGTGCTGCTGGCGCCGCTCACTCCCTGCCGAAACGTGCCGTGCGGTACGAGGCACTGTTCATGGACGAGCCAGTGCTGCTGCACCCGCGCAGTGCAACCTTCCGGTCGGCGCCACCTCTGCTGCTCTTCAATGAAATCGTGCAGACCGAGTCCCACCCCTTCCTCGTCACCACCACCGCCGTCGACCCCGCCTGGCTGACCTCCTCCTGCCCCGCGCTCTGCTCTCTCTCCAAGCCTCTCCCCGACCCGCCACCCCGCTACCACCCCCCATCTGACCGCATTCTCGCAACGGTGGCGGCTGTGTATGGGCCTAAGCGGTGGCCGCTGCCGCACTGCACAGTGGATTTGGAAGGGAGCAGGGAGAGGGCGGCTGTGTTTGCATGCGCGCTGTTGCAGGGGCAGGTGGTGGGAGCGATGAAGCGGTTACACGGGCTGCTGGCTGGTAACCCTACGAGCTTGCTGCGGCCGGAGGGGTTGGGGCAGAGGAGGGCGGGTGACTTGGTGCATAGGCTGATGGTGGGGGTGCCAGGAGGAGGGAAAGGGGCAGGGGGGAAGGGTGAGAGTGGTGGTAAGGGAGGGGTAGGTGTGAGAGGGCCTGTTGATAGTAAGGGGAAGCTGAGGGCGGCGTGGGAGTGTGATGGGGAGTTTCTGAGGGCGGAAGTGAGGACGTGGGTGCGGGCAGGGCAGGAGGGCGTGGTGGATGGGTTGTGGCGAAATATCGTGAGGGAAGTGGTTGTGGGGGCGAAGAAGCAGAAACACTGAGATACAAAATTTTGTACCTACAGCAGTCATGTCATACACTTTTGTGGTGCAGTGTTGCTACACGTGTAACTAGAAAAGCCATGTACGGGAATATTTCGTTTTGGAAAAAACACATCCTTAGTGGTACAACACACTTGAACAAGACAACGTTTACAGCTCGAGCAGGTTTACCATTAGCAAGCAACCAGGGATGCATGCACCCAGCCATTTCCTTAGCATCTGAACATTCCTTCCCCCCCGGCCCGTACACCTAACTAAAAACCACTGAGCTGTATGCAGACAACCCATATATTCTTTCCATAGCTTGAGCTTCGAAATGAGCTTCAAGTTCGTCACAGCATTCATGAGTCAAGCTGAGAAGCATTTTAAGTTGGGAGATAGCCTCCGGCAGAGAAGCCAGATGCCTGCAGCCATCCAGATTAAGCTCTTTGAGCCGGCTCAGTTGTCCAAAATTGGAAGGCAGGGAGCGTATGGGCGTGCGGCGAAGGTTCAACGCATGAAGGCAGGAAAGCTGGGTGAGAGAAGCAGGAAAGTGGGTGAGCGATGAGCACTTCTCAAGATTCAGCTGGCGCAGTCGAGATAACGCCCCGATGCCGTGCGGAAGAAAGGCAAGCTTAGGCGCATGGATTTCCACGAATGTCAGGGATTGAAGGTCCGTGAAACTCTCTGTCAGCTCCGTCAATTCTGCAGCCTGCTGTATCTGCAACCGCCTCAGCTGCCGCAATGCCAAACCAAACCCTTCTGGAAGCCTCTCCATGCAACCAGTGCTGTGGATTGTCAAGCTGCGGAGGTTTGAGAGAAGTTCCAGAGGCAGTGGAAGGTCCTCTGCTTCTCCAGCCAGCGTCAGCTCTAAGTGCTCCAGAGAAGGGAGGGTCATGCTTTCAGCCAGTCCCCGCATGAGCCCAACGCTAGTTAGGGTTAATTTTCTCAGCCTGGGCAGAGAAGGAAGCTCCAGCAGAGGGGTGAGGCGCTGGAAGCTTCCTATGGAGAGTATCTCGAGGGAAGAAGGCAGGGATGTGCATACTTGTTCAAGCTGGGGGACCTTGGCTAGTGCTAAGATTTTCAGCCTTCTAAGGTTGCTCAAGCTGGAGGGAATAGAAGTAAGGCTGTCGCAGTCCATAGCTTTCAGAGCACTTAGGTTGACAAGATCAGAAAGAGAATCTGGAAGCTTCTGAATCTTGGAGCACGACTGGATGGTCAACTCCCGAAGATTCCTCAGCTTCCCCAAGTCTTCTGGAAGCTCTTCTAGCACACACTGGGTGAGCTCGAGCCTTGTCAGGGAGGACAGCTGCGTGAACGACGATGGAAGCAGCTGCTGGGGGGAATTTTCTCTCAGACGGAATGTGTGGAGGTTGGTGAGAGAGCTGATGTCGTCTGGAAGCTTCAGGTTCGGCGAGTTGAGGATGAAGAGGGAGTTGAGTGCGGTGAGGAAGCCAAACCTTGCAGGCAGCTCGAAGATTTCGTTGCAGTAAGACAGGGAGAGGGTTTCCAGAGACGTCAGCAGGTAGAACGAATCTGGGAGGCTCGTAATCGGCAGGCTGTTCAGCGTCAGCACTTTCAAAGCAAGCAGCTCTCCAAAGTTTTCGGGCAGGCTGACAATGTCGCATGAGAAAATCGTCAGGTCACGCAGGCAGCTTAGGGAAGCGAACTCGTCGGGCAGCTCGGGAACATTATTCCATCCCCACAAGCTCAGATGCCGAAGGCGTGGCAACCGCTGTCCAATGTCATCAGGAAGACGTGCCACCTCGCTGACACTGCTACCTTTAAGAAGCAGCCGCTCGAGACGGCTGAAGGAGACTCCCGGCGGAAACATCGACTCGAATCGCGGACTGAACGCGTCGAACTCCACTCCCGCTTTCAGCCAGGGCAGCTGGGCGAATGAAAATGGTTGAGAGCCGGCGACTTGTAATTTCAGCCATGCGTAGTTGAACAATGCGAGGGTGGTGAACGCCGGGAGATGCGTGAGGCTCGCGAAATTCAGACCTTCCGGCTGTGGAATCATGTCGACGGAGAGCGCGGTAAGAGAAGTCAATCTCGTGAATCCTGGAGCCTCGAGAGGTGAGGGCTCAGTGAGAGCGAGGGTGCGTAGGTTGGTGAGGAGCGAGAGGGAATCCGGCAGCTTGCAGTAGCGATGCAGGCAGTAGAGCGAGAGGTGCTGCAGCTGAGTGCAGCGACGCAGGAAGCGGTCCAAACCAGCCTCGGTCACCGGGTTCATCTCTTCAGGCTCATATTCCGCCGTCAGCGTGATCTCTCTCCCCACGTGCAGCGACACCAGTTTAGGGCACGCAGAAGCGAGGAAATCGAAAAACGCGTCGTTGATTGTCTCTACGCTGTTGTCACTGAGGTGGAGGTGTGAGAGGTTCGGGAAGCACGTGATGGCAGCCGTGAGATCTTGGAGAGAAACGGCGATGTTTTCCTTCACGACGAGCATTGAGACCTGACGACGAGCCAGGCGGCGCCATCGCTTGCAAACGGATGCGATGAGAAGGTGGTAGATTGGATCTGTCAAAACGGTGGGAGCTGATAACGGTGTAGTACTATTACTGGTAATTGTAGCAGTAGTGGTATTAACGTCGTTCCGCTGCACGAAGGACAGGGACGAAAATTCTTCCAAGGTGCTGAGGTCGTCGCCGTAGGGGCTGTCGGAGGAGTACCTTGGTGGACGCATGATGTGAACAGATGGATGAAGTCTAAGGTCTTTGGATTGGCGGCGAGGAACATCGTTCTTGGAGTGCCAAAAGATGTACACGAGGAGGTCATCTGACAGGCTGTTGAGGTACAAGGGAGCCATGATAGATGAACTGTGAGACTAACGGATTAGGTATTCAGAGCTAATGTTTGTGGAAAGAACGCACTTTCCCGAAGAATTAGGTCAAACGGCCTGAGTATGGCCTGATAGGGCTGAGTGTCGGGTATCTGTCTGCTATGTTCCTCACTGCTCGTTCCCAAAGGTAATGTGTTTCGAATGAGGAGCGGTTGGGTAGGGTGCAAGTTCGGTTCGAATACCGTACGAGAGAGAATGGAAGAGTTACAGCAGCATGATTCCTCTGGGCAACCAACACCAACACACTCACCACCAGGTAGGGGATTTTTCGTTACACTCGCCAATACAAGAATCCGAACCGAACAGCCTACGGTCGGATTGGGGGGAAACAGCATCTACCGCTCGCTAGTAGCTGTACTGTGCTTCTAGGTAAGGCGATCTGCTTCCTTCACGACACTCTCTCAACGATTTATCCGCACGCGCTTCGGCTATGTTTCATTGCCTACGCTCGCTGTGCACGAGTCGTCGCTGCCTCCTCGCACCTTCGTCTGAAATCACGTCGCCCACGAGCGGCTGTCCTGTCTTGTGACATAGTTCGCGTGCTCGCTCGCTCATGTTTCGTGTTGTTCGCCGCTCCGCCATTCACTCGCTGCCACCCAACACTCGTCGCTTCCCGCTTCCCGCTTTCCTAGCTTGTAAATTTCATTCTCGGTCTCGTTCTCCGTTTTCCTGCAGCCGTCAAGTTCACATCTTCCCGTCACCAGCCGTCGACCAGCAGCCGTCTGCCGTCATCCCGCCGGCGTTCCGCAATGGGCATCGCGCGCACGTGGAACGTGGAATCGACGGTCAAGGTCGCCTTCGCCGTGGTTGTCGGCACCACGCTCGTCAGCTCCTACCTTTATGCGGTGAGCTCTTCCTCCCACACGACATACGCGCCAGCTCTCAGGTGAATTCCAGATTCGCTCTGTGCTGATCGCATTCATTCATTGTCATCGTTCGTCGCCCGCACCACGCTCGTCACTCCCACCGCTCCGCGATGAGGCAATGAGCCAGTCGTGTCGCGCGATGAGTGGCCTAACCGCTTAGTGAATAAAGCCCCTCGCAGATGGAGCTCGTAAGGGACGTGCAGCAATGCGGTTGTGAGCGCCATGGGACCTGCACTGCACTCAACCGCACACACCTCTCTGCGTCCCTCCTCCCACCGCCCTCCTCCCTTCTCCCTCGCCTCGCGCTCGCGTGCAGCTGCATGCGTCTGTCGCTCCGCTGACGCACGCTCAGCAGGGCCATGAGAGAGCGAGCAGCTGTGTGCGGGGATGGCCCTTGTGAGCGCTGCAGGCATGTGTGCTGCTTCATGAATGGCCTGTCTTGTCTTATTCACGCCGCAGGCACTTGTGCCTTTCACGCCCATGGGTGGGCATAATAATGACACGATCGGTACTGCTTTTGAACTTGATTTGTCTGCCACTTGTGCACCCGTCCAATGACCCTCCCATCACCAGGTTACCAGGCTGAATCACCTGCATTCAGTAGCCCCCCCTCACTCACCTCTCCCACCCACCCACGCTCTTGCGCCCTCATCTGTTCAGAGCAAGTTGAAGGCACAAGCAGCAACAGGAGCAGCGAAGAAGTGACAATGTGCAGCATGGACGGCAGCATGCCCGTGTGCATGTGCCCCCCCATCCCTATGGATACCGTGCTTCCAAGTGTCGGTTAGCACCTCTACATTCGTTCACACAGCCACACCACCAAAAATTCGTTTCCCTGCTCCGCCTATATTGCAAGTCGTAGCTTCCCTCCAAGTGTTATTGCCAGAATAGAACACCATATTGGTACTGCTGATTGCTCACTTCTCTGTTCACCCTCTGCCAAGGCCAACTTATACTGAATCAGGCAAGAATCCTATCCTGGTTACGGTACCTAGGAGCGAGTTGCAAGCAGCGAGCGAGCCATGGTCACGAATTTACTTTGGGAGGAACGTGAAAGTCTGCTGGGCGGAAGCAGCAGGGCTGCTGAGCTGCAGGTGGCGACCAGGTTACCGGCTGTATGGCACTGCTTGTGCCACAAGTCAACACCCCAGCCTGTGTGCCAGTACTGTATGTGTGCCGGTCTGCACAGCCATATGCAGAGCAGCATGCACAGTAGAATGCACCACTGCTGACGCAACTGCCATGCCAGACTGCTCATCCTCCTCATCCTCCTCATCCTCCTCATCCTCCTCCCCGCCCCACACATCACTCCCCAGCTCCCCATCCCCACCATACCCCACGTCACTGCCATACCCAGAGTCCCCTCCGCTCTGCCCCTCGCTCCCCACCCGCCCGCTGCGCCTCTCCTCCCCCACGCGCCCCTGCTCCTGCTCCCACTGCCCCTCCCTCGCCCACGCCCCCCCTCTCGCCCACTCCCTGCCCAGCGGCAGCGCCTCCCCCTCCACTATGCTCCTCGGCGTGCTCAGCGCTGCTGCCCCTCGCCTGGGGGGTATGCAGCAGCGGGCAATGGCGAGGCATGGCGCAGGGGAAGGCGGGGAGAGGGTGCAATTGAGGCAGGGGAAGGGGAAGCTTAAAACAGGGAAGGACAGGAAAATAGAGAAATGGGAAGGAAAGGAAAGGCAAGGAGAGGTGATGCAAGGGTAGGAAAGGAGAAACATAACGGAGGAAAGAAAAGCAACGGAAAGAAAAGCAGTGCCCACCTCTCTCGTGGCCCTTGCGGCAGGTCAAGCCCCGTGCTGCTGCTGCTCACATACCCCCCTCCCCCAGGCACCACTGCCACATGCCCGCCCTCCTCCCACCCCTCCTCCACACTCCCCCTCTGCCTCCACCCATCCATACCCGCACCTTTCCCCATGCGCCCACCACACTTGCCCGCACCCCCCTGCGACCCCCTGGCAGCAGCACTGCAGCGCCGGCTGCTGCTGCGCCCCGCCTCCACCCGCTGCTGCCGTGCCGGCCTCACAGCCCCGCGTGGCCCGTGCTGCTGCCGTGTGGGGCGGGACGAGCTGGCAGGGCGCGAGTGGCCGTAATACAGCTCGCCACTCGCCCGGCTCACGTGCTTCCCGCCGCCCGCCTGCCGTCCGCTGCTCCCACTGCTGCCGCCCTTGAATGCGGCAGGAGAGGCAGCGGCAGTGGCAGCAGGAGCAGTAGGTGAGGTTAAGTGCGGTACGGGGGAGTGCCTTCCGGCATCAGAGCTCCTGCCGAGCTCGGAGAGTGGATGGGCGTCAGAGAGACGGTCGCGGTCAGAGAGGGAGGGGGAGGGCGGCACGGCAGGCCGGTCTGACAGCACAGCAACACTGGCGGACGCGGAAAGAGAAACAGAGGGAGCAAGGGGGTCGGAGGCACAGGAGGTGTCGCATGCTGCTGCTTCTGCTGCTGCTGCTGCTGCCGGGTCACTGCTCTCGCAGGGCATTGCAGCAGGGTCGCTGGTGTGCCCCCCCACTGCTGCTCCCAGTCTGCCTTGCGCTGCATGCACGCTGCAGCGCCGCCTCTTCCGAAGCTGCACATGGTGAGGCCATGGGGGGGGGGGGGAGGGGAGCATGTTAGCTCTCAGAGAACGCACATCATGATGCTCGGAGGCATGTGCATGCTTCTCCTCCCTTTCCACTCCTTTTTTTTTTCATTGTTTTTTTTTTTTTGCCTCACCTGCCTGCCCTCCTTCCATCGCCATGTGCCCCGCCCTGCCCCCACTGCCATCTGCCCAACACCCCTGCTTGTGCCGCCACCATCCTCCTCCGAGCTCTCACTCTCCTCCCCGCCCCCCCTCACAGCCATTCTGCACCCCGCCCACTCCGCCCCCCCACCTGCCTCCTCCGGCATGAGCATGAGCATCAGGTCCGCTCCCCACTCTCTCCCCGCTCTGCCTGCCTCCCACCCACCACCACCAGCACCACCACCAGCACCAGGCGTGCGCCTCTCCTCCTCGCCTTCCTCCTCACGCTCCTCCTCGTCCTCCTCCTCCCCCTCCCCCTCTTCCTCCACCTCTGCATGGTAATCGCTGCTGTCGCTCCCCCCGTCCCCCTGAAACACCTCCCGCCCTGCCCGCTTCCGCCCACACACCTGCTTTGCCCCCGCCGCTCCCACCAGCATCGCGCCTGCCCCCTCACTCTCCCACCCCCCGTCCTTCCCCTCTGCTGTGCCATGCCCCTTGCCGCTGCTGCCACTACCCACCTCCGCAACCCCCCCATCCCCCCCACCCCCCCCACCCCCCTCACCTCCTCCTCCTTCTTGCAGCCCACCTGCTCCCTCGCCTACCACCCCCACTCTGTGCCGCCTCACCCGCCTCCTCCTCCATCTAGAAGCTTCCAAGCTGCTTCCCTCACCAACTGTACCGCCCACGTCAGCAGAAGGAGCGCCACGAGCAGCAAACACAGCACCCGCTCCTGCCCCGGCCCCACTCCCTCCCCCTGCCTCCGCTGCCTCATCCCCGCCCCCTCCCTCCCTCCACCCGTCTCCTAGCTCCTCGCACTCCCCATGTGGCGCACCCCGCTCTCCTCCCCCATGCCCCATCTCCCCACCATTGCCCTCCGCGCCCTCGCCTCGCCTCCGCGCCTCAGCCCGCGTGGACAGCGACCGCCGCCTTCCCACCACCCCACTGCGCCTGACCTTTGGCGGCCCCATGGTGCCTGCGTTGCTGCCCGCGCCAATGCCTCTATCGACACCATAAACACCGTTGCCATCGCTGCTGCCGCTGCCACGCACCCACGCCTCGCCACCCACTGCCCCACCGATGCCTGCCTCACCTGTCTCGCCTGTCTCACGACTATCGCCTGCGAGAGTGCCGAATTCCACGCGCCTGCTGCCACTGCTGTGCGCCCAGCAGCCGTCGCGAGCACCACCACGCGCACCCCCAACCCCACCCCCACCCCCAACCCCAGGCCCACGTGCACTTGCAAGCCCATTTGCATGGCCGTGCCTCCCTCCCCCACTGCCCGGCCGCACTGCTCGCCGGGCTGCCTGCTGCTCCAATGCGTGCCAGCTTTCATCCGAGCTGCCCCCGGACCACCCTGACACGCGCACGCCTCTGCCTCGGAACCCCAACCGAGCCTCATGCTCCGGCTTGGCAAGCTCCGCCGTCCCAAGCCTCTCAGCTTTGGCGAAGGGGGAGGGAGCTATTGCTGCTAAGGCTACTGCGGCAGTGGCGTGGGCGTGGGGCGGGGCGCTAAAGGTGGCGGCGCAGCGCCACGCCTTCCCGTGCACCTGTAACGGTTGCGCCGCGCGCACCTCTTCACAACTGCTCGCTCCCCGCCCCGCCGCGCCCCCGTCCTCTGTTTCCTCTGTCCAATCCGCCCCCTCCACCCCCTCCCCTCCCCCCCGCCCGGCCTCATCGCGCTCATCCATGGCCCTCTCCGCCGCCGCCGCGGTGGAATTTCCGCGCGCCGGCCCTACAACGCCTTCCGCGTGCGCGCCGTCCGCCTGCCCGAACGGGCTCCACGCGCCCAGGCGGTCCAGGCACGACGCCAGCTTGCGCTGCGCGCGCCGCCGAGCGGACGCCCGCCCGCGGTGAGTCGCGCGCGGGGCGGCGGCGAGGGGGTCCGCGGGCGGAGGAAGGGCGAAATCCACTGCCGCCGGTTGCGCCATTGGGGGAGAGGGGCGGGAGGGACGGCGGGGCCTACTAGCGCGCGCGCGCTGAGGGGCGCGCGTGGCCTGCTGGCGGGGCCAGCGACTCCCGGCGCGACCGCGACGCCCGGGCGCAACAGGCACGAGAAAGGGTCGTGCGCGCTTCAGTCGCTCGGCAACGCACCCGGCGCAGGAGCGAAAACTGCCGCCTCTGCTCTCGACAGTGCGGGCGTGATGACGAGAGAATCTTAATCCTAGAACGAGTAAGTTGAGGGGCTTTACAACCGGCCGCACTCCCCGCTGCAGTTGTTGATGCAAGCACAGGGCTCACTACCGCTTGTACCGGAGCCGAGATATTAGCACGTACTGAAATATTAGCGCGTAAAGGAGGAAGAGGCCTCACAAACTCAGCTCACAGCACATCAATTAGGGCGTGTAACGTTTTTCCGAACCGTGGTCCGGACTTTGGCTGGCCCGGACAGCTTGGGTGGTTACATGTTTCTCACGTTCTCGCATGGGTGAAAATTGCGAACGGTGTGTAGTAGTCGTTACATATCGGTAGTCGTTCAAATTTTAAAACACCAAAAAGTTCCACAATTCAGGTCCGGACCAGCTTCTGTCCGGACCTGGAGGCCCGGGCGTCTGTGTCGACGCTGTCCGTCGCTTTGGGAGCGACGTCCGGACATTTGCCGTTTCGGAAAAAAGTTCACGCCCTTAGAGCGTGTTACGTACCCCTTATTTTGGTGTTAGGCCCCGGTTGCCTCCAAAAGTCGACTCAACCTGACTGGTCAGGTCAACCGGGGCTGTCAACTTGGCCGGTTGGGTACCTAGCAGGCAACCTGCAAATGTACCACTCGCCTGCTTTTGGGACCCAACCGCGCCAGCAGTATTTCGGGTAGACCCAACAGTTACAGTGTCAATCTTAGTGGCCAAAATTTGATGAAATTTTGATTGCACCAGTCACATCAAGTCTCGCTAGTGCAACCTGCCCGCAATGTTTTCGTGCACCCTCTGTTTGCGCGGCGGTTAGGTACGTTCAACCCTGGTTGCCTCAATACGGTTGTACCTGGTCGAGACCAGTCGGTTGCCCGACTACGTGGTTGCCTCGACCAGCTGCCAGACGGGTATGGTACGCACGTACATTACTGTACACTGTAGAGCGTAGGGTTATCGGGCAACCCTACGTTCAACCCAACCGGCATGTTTGAGGCAACCGCGACCGGGCCCCAAAATAAGGGGTACGTAACACGCTCTTAGTGTCAAATGATATATATGTGTGATATATATTGGTAGGCTGTAGTGGGGTAGATGTTATAGGGGATAACACTTTAGGGTTGTGTGTCATGTACCAAACTCTCTCGTCAATCGAACCACCTTGCCTAGCTATCTCGACATGGCATCTAGAGCAGGTTCTTAGGACCTAAGTTTAAGGGCCCACCAGTTACTAAGTTACCTCACCAACGGCCTGCCTACCTGCCTTGCCTTTTGGTCTGCCTAGCCTGCTGCCCGCGCGCGCCTCGGCTGCGCGCGCACGCCTTTTTTTTAGCGCGCACTGCTGCTGCCAGCCGCGTCGCGCCCCGTCCGTCGCCCGCGCAGCCCGCCCTGAGCCCGCATAGCTCGCGCGCGGCCCGTCCCTGCCTCGCGCAGCCCGCTAAGGCCCCGCGCAGCCCGTCTGCAGCCCGCGCGTCGCATGTGCTGCTCGCGCGCAGCCCCTTTTCCGCCCCGCGCGTCGCATTTGCTGCCTGCGCGGCCCACTCCAGCGCTGCGCGCTGCACCTACCGTCCGTGCGCGGCCCGCCTAGGCCCTGCACGTCGCGATTGCCTCTCGTACAGCGCATTGCTGCCCCGTGCATTGCGTCCGCCTGTACCTGCCGCCAGGGTTTAGGGTTTACCCTGTCTTTTTCTTGCCTGCCTTGCGCCTCTACCGTCTGCCTTGCGCACCTGCCTGCTACAGTTGCCTGCTGCCTGAACCTGCAGCCTTTGCCTGCTGCCTGAGCCTACTGCCTGAGCCTGCTGCCTGAGCCTGCTGCCTGAGCCAGCTACTTTTGCCTGCGCTGCAACCATGGCGACCCTTACTGTTCTCGCTTTTGAGCCTGACGGCCGCCCCATCGAGTTTGACACCTGGCTTAGTGATCTGCGACTTTACCTTATGACTGACGTCGCAGACGGAGTATCACTACTAGCCTATGTCACTGGCACTGTCCCTACTCCAGCTGAGACTGCTCCTGCCCCTGAACGAGCACAGTGGGAGCTCCGCGACGCAGTCGCACGCCTTGTTATTCGCAATCACCTACCGATCTCTGAGCGCGCGCATTTCAACCAGCTTAAGACTGCCAAGACGCTGTATGATGCTGTCGTTGCCCGCTATTCCGCCCCGGCCACAGCCACCGTTGGTAGTCTCATCCTGCCATACCTGTTCCCAGACTTAGCCTCGTTTCACACTGCTGCCGACCTTATCACTCACCTCCGCGCTAGTGACGCCCGCTTTCGAGCCGCTCTTACCGCCGAGTTCCTCGCCACGAACACCCCCCCGCTGTACTTCACCCTCTACATCCTCGTCACCCGCCTCCCTGACACTCTTCGCTCTGTCAGGGATTACTTCCTTGCCAAGGATCCTCCAACTATCACTCTGGACGACTTCGAGCAGCAGCTGGTCGCAGCAGAGAAGAACATCCTCGCTGTCGGTGCTGCTCGTGGCACTCCCCGCACTCCCCTCTTTGAGGGGTGCTCCCCCTCCCCTCTTGACCCCTCCTACGCCTCTGCTGCTACTGCTGTCGACTTCCTCGGTGCGGAGAAGGTCGCAGCGGCTTCCACTCCTGGTGGGAAGCGTGGTGGTGGCAGGAGCGGCAAGGGTGGCAGGGGTGGCGGAGGTGGCGGTGGAGGGAGCGGTGGTGGAGGCGGCGGGGGTTGTGGAGGTGGTGGGGGTGGACGTGGGGGTGGAGGCGGTGGGTGGGGTGGCGGCAGGACCGGGGGCGGTGGAGGCGGCGGCGGCGGTGGTGGGGGAGGAGGCAGCGGCAGTGGCGGTGGAGGTGGGAGTGGGGGTGGATCTGGCCAGAAGGGTGGCCAGCAGCAGCAGCAGCTTCCTCCCCTCACCTCCCAGCAGCTCAATGACTGGTATGCTGGGCGTGGGGCGTCTCGGGGTTCTGACCGCTGCCCCTATGTCATTCGTACTGGCCCCCGCAAGGGTCGCCCCTGCAACGGTTTTCACACTGAGTATCGTTGTTTTGCCAGGCTTAGTGACGCCTGGCGTGCCAAGTATCCTGATGCTACTGAGTTCCCCAACTGGGCCGAGCTGCTTAGGCGTGATGTGCCTATCTTTGATCTGGACTATGATGTTATTCTTGCTGCTATGTATGCATTGACTGTTAGTGCTGAGGGTGACTGCTACTTGTGTGTGCCGCCTGATCCTGGTATTGACCCTAGTATAAGGGCTGCAGCCCTAGGTGCTAGTGAGTCTGCTCCCCGTGGTACTGAGTCGACTCAGGCCTTGCACACGTTTACACTTGACTCTGGTGCTTCCCGCTGTTTCTTTCGCGATAGCACCACCGTCACTCCCCTCCCTGCACCTGTCCCTGTCTCACTGGCTGACCCCTCTGGGGGCCCAGTGCTTGCACGAGCCACGACTGTGCTCTCGTGCCCGGCGGTCCCGTCTGGTGAGCTGTCAGGTCTCCACGTTCCCTCGTTCTCTACGAACCTGGTGAGCAACGCCGTCCTCCAGGATCACTGGGTTGACACCTGGACTCCTGGAGGGCAGCGTGTGGCGATCTGCACGTGCTCCAAGACTGGCCGCCATATGGCCACGTTCACTCGTGAGCCGGGGTCTAGTCTGTACACCCTCACCACTGTTTCACGCTCCACTCCTTTGTCTCCTCAGCTGTACGCGTCTGCCCAGGTAGCTACCCAGTGTGAGTGCCGCCGCCTGTCGCACGACACGCTTCTGTGGCACCACCGCCTTGGTCACCCCTCCCTTCCTCACCTTCGTGGCATGCACTCTCGCTCCCTAGTCTCTGGGCTTCCCAGGTCTCTGCCTGCCCTCCCTCCCTCGCCTGCGCCGCCCTGCATTCCCTGCGTCGAGGGGCGACAGCGCGCCGCTCCTCACTCCTCCTCGTTTCCTCCCACAGAGGCTCCCCTGCAGACGCTCCACCTGGACGTGTGGGGCCCAGCCCGCGTCCAGGGACAGGGCCGTGAGCGGTACTTTTTGCTGGTTGTCGACGACTACACGCGTTACACCACGGTCTTCCCCTTGCGCAGCAAGGGGGACGTCCCTGCTGTTTTGATCCCCTTGCGCGTCCGCGCTGTGCGTCTCCAGCTCCGCGAGCGGTTTGAGCGGGACTTCCCTGTCCTGCGTCTGCACTCTGACAGAGGTGGTGAGTTCTCCTCTGACCTCTTGGCAGCCTTCTGTGCGGAGCACGGCATTACCCAGTCGTTCACGCTTCCGGCCTCTCCGCAGCAGAATGGGGTTGCTGAGCGCCGCATTGGCTTAGTCATGGAGGTCGCTCGTACCTCCATGATCCATGCGGCGGCTCCCCATTTTCTGTGGCCGTTCGCGGTCCGGTACGCCGCGCATCAGCTCAACCTCTGGCCCCGTGTCTCCTTGCCGGAGACCTCGCCCACGCTGCTGTGGACGGGGGAGGTTGGTGATGCGTCGCGTTTCCGGGTCTGGGGTGCTCGTGCGTTTGTCCGCGATCTCACCGCGGACAAGCTCTCTGCTCGCGCCGTTCCCTGCGTCTTCCTTGGTTTTCCTCCTGACGCGCCTGGCTGGCAGTTTTACGACCCCACCTCGCGCCGTGTCTTTGCGTCTCAGGACGTCACCTTTGACGAGTCTGTTCCCTTCTACCGTCTCTTTCCCTACCGCACTGCCTCTCGCCCCCCCCCGCCGCTCTTTCTCGCTCCAGGTCCTCCCCAGGTAGACCCCCTCCCCGCGCCAGGTCCTGCTCCTTCAGGTGTTTCTCAGGTAGACCCTCTGGTACCTGCGCCGATTGAGGTCACTGGTGACTCAGGTCCTGCTGGAGGTGGTCCTGCTCGGGGTGCTGTCTCTGGGGGTGCTGAGCCTGGGGGTGCGGAGCCTGAGCGAGAGGCGCCTAGAGGTGCTGAGCCTGGGGGTGCGGAGTCTGGGGGTGCTGTGCCTGCGCGTGAGGAGCCTGGAGGTGCTGAGCTTGGGGGTGCCGAGTCTACGGGTACTGAGCCTACGCGTGAGGAGCCTGGGGGTGCTGGCGCTGAGGGTTCTGAGTCTGCTGTTGCGCGGTCTCCTTGGAGTAGCCGCCTTCGTCCACGTGTGCCTCTCACCTCACAGCAGCTGCAGGACCAGTACGGTCGCCGTCAGGGTCGCACTGCTGGTGCCCGGGGCTCTACTGCTGGAGTCGCTGGTTCCGGAGGTGCTCGTCCTGGGGGTACTGGAGCTGCTGGGGCTTGGGGTGCTGGTTCTGGGGGTGCTGCTGCTGGAGACACTGAGGTTGGAGACCCTGGGACTGGAGGTGTCGGTTCTGGGACTGGAGCTGCTGGAGGTGCTGGAGCTGCTGGAGGTACTGGAGCTGCTGGAGCTGCCGGTACTGGCGCAGCTGCGCCGACACGACTGTTCTTCGCTCCACCGTCTCCGTCGTCTCTGCCGCCGTCTGACTCTGCTCTTCGTCAGGTTCTTACTCTCCCGTCGTCTACTGGTCTTCCGTTACAGCCTGGCTCACCGCTGCCTGCTCCTTCTCCTTACACTGAGCAGACTGGTAGTCCTGCTGAGCGTCGTGAGCCTGCGTCGCGTCCTGTCTCGCCTGCTCGTCCTGGTCGTACCGGTCGTCGTGTTCCTCGCTCGCGTCAGCCGGCTGTCCCCAGCGCACACCTCGTAGTCCGTCGTCCTTCCTCTGCTCCGCAGCCTGTTCCTCTGCCGTCTCCTCCTGCGTCCTCGTTGCCTGACGTTCCGGACCCTGCGTCTGACCGGTTTCGTGCTGAGCACCCTACTGTCACGCGTCTGCTAGCCACAGTTGTCACTGACCCGTCGTTTGAGTCTGCTGCTGCGTCTGCTCTTGTCGCTGAGCTTGTTGACTTTGCTGCTGCCTGTCGTCTAGACTTCACTGCCAGTCTTGTTGCTGAGTCGGAGTCTGTCTGTCCTCCGTCCGTCGGGGGTGAGTGTGCTCTTAGCACGGACGTCCTTGAGGACAAGCAGGAGGAGTTCCAGTGTCTTGCTGCTGCTTTACCTCATCTTGTGTCCTCGCTACTTGCCCCTGAGGGAGACCCGGATGCACCAGACATCCCGACTCCGCGCTCTTACGCAGAGGCGATAGAGGGTCCCTACTCCTCTCAGTGGCAGGCAGCCATGGACGCAGAGATGGCTTCCTGGAAGTCCACACGCACCTATGTCGACGAGGTTCCCCCACCTGGGGCGAACATCGTCAGTGGCGTGTGGATTTTCAGGGTGAAGCGGCCGCCGGGTTCTCCGCCTATCTTCAAGGCGCGTTACGTGGCTCGAGGCTTCAGTCAGCGAGAGGGAGTTGACTTCTTCCAGACCTTCTCCCCCACCCCGAAGATGACCACTCTTCGGGTGCTGCTGCATGTTGCTGCTCACCGTGACTACGAGCTTCACTCTCTTGACTTCAGCACAGCTTTCTTGCAGGGCAGCCTGCACGAGGAGATCTGGCTGCGCCGCCCCCCGGGCTTCACTGGGTCGTTCCCTCCTGGCACCCAGTGGAGCCTCCGGCGGCCGGTCTACGGTCTCCGCCAGGCGCCACGTGAGTGGCACGACACACTGAGGACTACGCTTGCGGCTCTTGGGTTTGCGCCTTCTACTGCTGACCCGTCGCTGTTTCTGCGCACCGACACTTCACTGCCGCCGTTCTACATCCTCGTGTACGTCGACGACTTGGTTTTTGCCACTGCTGACACTGAGGCTCTCGCCCACGTGAAGTCGGAGCTGCAGAAGAGACACACGTGCACTGACTTGGGTGAGCTGCGCAGCTACCTTGGCTTGCAGATCACCCGGGACAGAGCACGCCGCACCATCACCTTGACTCAGTCACACATGGTGCAGCAGGTCCTTCAGCGCTTCGGCTTCACCTGGTCTTCAGCACAGGCCACTCCTCTGGCTACAGGTCACACGCTCTCAGCTCCACCTTCGGACGAGTCTGTAGAGCCGAGTGGTCCTTACCCAGAGTTAGTCGGCTGCCTCATGTACCTGATGACTTGCACTCGACCTGACCTCGCGTACCCTCTTGGTCTCCTGGCTCGCTATGTGGCTCCTGGTCGGCACCGACCTGAGCACATGGCTGCTGCTAAGAGGGTACTGCGTTACTTGTGCAGCACATCAGGCATGGGGCTAGTGCTTGGAGGGACGAGCCCAGTTGTCCTCACTGGGCACTCAGACGCTTCTTGGGTTGACGACCTGGCTACTCAGCGGTCATCACAGGGTTACACCTTCAGCCTTGGCTCTGGTTCAGTTTCGTGGCGTTCTACACGCTCGTCTTCAGTTCTCGGCTCCAGTTGTGAGGCTGAGATCTACGCCACAGCCATGGCTGCACAGGAGTTACGCTGGCTCACCTACCTGCTGACTGACTTGGGAGAGCAGCCTCGTTCTCCTCCAGTGCTGTACGTCGACAACAAGGCCGCCATTGCCTTGTGTCAGGAGCACAGACTAGAGCACAGAACGAAGCACATTGCTCTGCGTTACTTCCTGGCTCGAGAGTTGCAGCAGCGAGGCCAGCTTCGTCTTCGTCACGTGGCCACTCGGGCCAACACTGCTGATATATTCACCAAGGCACTTCCGTCTGGTGATCATCAGCGCTTTTGTACCCTGTTAGGCCTTGTGCCTACGCTTCCACACTTGCTGTAGTTTCTGCTTGTACTGTGATCTATATATATATATACCTGCATGCTGGCTCTTGCTAGGTAGCCATCACTGTACTGTCATTGCTGCATATATATCTCTGCATGTGAACTGGCCTTGTGGCCATTTGCTTGTGCTCAGAATGTGTGGTGACGTTGTGATCCACCCTGAGCTTGTTTTGCTTCTCTTGACTGGTCTTGTGACCCGTTGCTCTCCCCCACTTTGCCTATGGGGGTGTGTCAAATGATATATATGTGTGATATATATTGGTAGGCTGTAGTGGGGTAGATGTTATAGGGGATAACACTTTAGGGTTGTGTGTCATGTACCAAACTCTCTCGTCAATCGAACCACCTTGTCTAGCTATCTCGACACTTAGCGCGTTCTGGCACAGATCAGTTCACCCCCTTTGTGAACACTCTCACCAAGCTCACGCGAATAGCTCGTGTGACACCCACACGGTGAGTTCGCTCGCGAAGGTGAGTGTTTTGGGGTTGCGTAGCAACCCTATACATTAGGTAGCACTTTTCGGTCGACTCAAATTAACAGTGCAGTTTTTGTCATTTTCCCAACGTATGAAGCCCTCATTTTAACTTTTTGAGAACGAGTGCTCCTAAGGGCGCGGAACATTTTAACAACCACGCCCATTTGTCGACCAAATAGTTGGTTCTGGCGGATGCGAAGGCTGTAACAGACATGCGAAGGATGCGAGAATTCTAAGCCATTCTGTTCGCCAGCACGCAGGGCACCCATTAGAAACCACCCTCACTAGGCAAAACCAAATGATTCCAGTTTAAAGCTCCAGTATACATTTGCCAGTTTTAGGGTTTTATAGTGTGCCTCATAGCTTTGGGGCAATTGTTCAAGTTCCTAAGGATTTTGAAGTTATCCTTTCAAATGTATACGGAAGCTTTAAGCATTCGAAATGCTGCGGGATATTGGGGGGGGGGGGGGGAGGAATGAGTACGTGTTAGACATTTTTTTAGGAAGGATTCATCACGTCTTGGTTTAGGTTGGAGGTCAAACATCGTCCCCTTTTGATGGATAGGTGTAGGTTGAGTCCCCAACAGACTTACAGAAAATGCCATTGATTTTCGATCAAATCAGGGTGACTACTTTGCATACGAGTCAATGGGGTTTCCCTAAATTCGTCGCAATTGCCAGAAACAACCACACATTCGACCGTTTCGCATGGTCGTTAAAATGTTCCACGCCCTAAGTTGTGGAGATGACGGAAGCACTTATAACACAAGAGTCTCCAAAAAGTGAAGCTATAAGGACAATTCATTTTCCTTACTTCGCTCGCACCCCTGCTTAGCGCGTACACTGTTGAAATAACCGAAAGGTCATTTTAAGCATTCTCGAAGGTATCCCATTAACGCATCAGCTGCTAGGAGAACCGGGCACTGTACCAGTACCGCAATAGCTCATATAGAGCATGCGGAAGGTCGAGGGTCACCCGAAGGTCAACCGTCGAGGGTAGTCAACGGTCGTGACCCTTGACCAGCCAAGTAACTGCGCGACAGTTGTTCGCTGCAACATGGTAACTGTCGAGAATGTGAATAGTCGTGGTTACTGTAGTGATACAGTTAATAAGGGAATGTACCCCTCAGAGTACATGGCTAGCTAGTTTGCTATTTAATCTCTTGTACTCCTATCCCTTAATCATCTTGTTCTCTTTCTACTATTATCCAACAAGGTCACTACAGAGACTTTATTGTCTCCTCCTGGACTTAGCAGACTTATCCTATTCACTTGATCCTTCGGTTATATCAGCATGGTATGAGAGCTAGAGTGGATTATAAGTTCTGCTAAATCATTGTTCTACTCAGAACAAACTCCTTATAATCTCATTCAATATAACACAAGGTCTGCACCATCATGGCTCCGAAGGGAAAACCATTGCAGACTCACCGGGCCCACCACCAGCAACGACTAATGCGCCATCAGCGGTGACCTCCGTCAGCGCCGCTGTCGTCGAGCAATTAGTAGCTCGCATCAACGCTCTTGAGAGCCATCAAGCCATGAGCATCGACGGCTCAAGCTACGCAAGAGGAGTTGCTGGACTCCCTCTCCCTGGAGAAGACCGACGCGTCAACTCCGAGAGGTCTTTCACCTTTGACAATCGTCAAGGGTCAGCTCCTGCACAAGACAACCCACAACGAGTGCAGTCAGAAGCAATTGCTTCCATGCAAACCAAGTTTGTACTAACCTCAAAACTGAAGACCTCGATTCCCTTTGACGGCAAGGATTTCTACACGTGGAGCTTCGAATTTGAGCTTCTCGCAACAATTGCTCAAATCTGGATGTACTACGACGGAAGCTTACCTTTTCCTTCCGAAGGAACCGTCAAGGAAAAGCACCAATACTACCACGAATCCCGCCTCGC